GTTTAGTTTTCATTAGGATGAGAACTATCTTACAAGCAATGTCCCTTTAATGGCTGAATAAATAATAACTCAGTCCCTCTGCAATATACAATGTATCATCTTCAGGGGCCTGCATGAATGATCGATCAGAGATAGATTGGCCTATTTGTTTCTTTGGGTGAGAACTAACTTACACGGAGTGTCCCTTTAATGGCTAAATGGATATTAATTCAGTGTCTCTTCAACATATCATCTCAAGAGATAGGCATGACTGATGAATCAAAAGAAGATTGACCCATTTGATTCTTTGTTTAAAACATTTTAGTGTTCATTATCATGAGAACTACCTTACAAACAGCGTCCCTTTAATGACTAAATGGATATCAATATTCAGTCCCTCTGCAACGTATCCTCTTCAGAGGCATGAATGACTGATAAATCAAAAGTAAATCGACCCATTTGATACTTTTCTGATAGTTCGTTGCCTTGGTGTCTGGCAGATCCAATATGGCCTCCTTTATTAAACTAATTTTTTTGCTATACTTTCACATTGTATATCTTCCGCAGCCAGGACTCTCATTTCATGTTTGAACTATGCAATTATGTCAATACTAAACAATAAAGGTGAAATCAGAGGGGGTCTGACCTGCGGAAGCACCTCAATCTGTCAGTGACTGCAGAAGGTCATTCATTCTAAAAAACAAGAACACAATAGGGTGCCTTTCGAAACAATAGGATTACAAAGTATCTCTGCATGGTTGAGCTGCTTAGTGAAGGTTATTATGCTCAGACACAATGTAGATTTATACCGACAATTCAATGTAAGTATATCTACAAAATCAAGGTTTTATTCAAGGTTTTGTGAAAATATGTGAAAATGTCTCATTTTAAGAGTCAGAATGACATGTGTAAAAAACAACTTTTTACCATATTCTAAACATTATTTTTGTGATTTGTTGAACTTCTTAAAGATTCATATTATATAAAAATAATCCTGGAATTCCAATTTATGTGTGTCTGAAGCAAACTTGTTTGAATCTTTGGCTCTGTTCGGTCGCTTTTTCTGAATTGCTTTACGTAGTTGAACAGGAAGCAATTTGTGTGTTTATCACTTGTCTAATGTATCAAGCAGCGTTCATGTTTTCTGTATCAAACAGGATTTATAATGATTTCACACTTATGAGAAGAGAATATTAACAGCAGTTATTGTTAAAATAGACATTTGTAGAATTACGTAACCTTGTAATGGGGTTTCGATCATTTGTTCAAAAGAAGTCCAATTTCAAACTTCACAAATTTTACCCTGTCCCGTTATAGCGTTATTGAGGTTACCACAGCAACCATAACTTCAGAAATGTTCATTACCAGCATCTAAAATTTTTATATCATATGAGAGAATCAATGACCCAGTTACTCTGAAAATATTGTGTCTGAGTTAAAGAGAAAAATTGATTTATGATCTAATTGATATTGTTTTCATTCATGCGATATTTGTCTCACTATATAAGCCGACGGGAACTTTTTGAATGGGACAGAATGATCAGATTGGATGTGCGGATTCGATGGGCTGAGATTTGAGAAATTATAATTTGAACTTTGTCTACGTAACATGTATCTCATATGCTCATTGTATTAAAAAGTAGATTGTCCTACTATGGACTCTCATAAATGGGCAGAAAATCTTCTTTTCTCAAGCAACTTTCTCTTTTCAATGAAACCAGTAAGATAAACCATGCAAGTGGAAAAACGCCCGCTTTTGTGCCGTCAATGTATAAGATCTAGAAAATAAATCGATTTTTTGAAAATTCAATATTTTCTTTAAGAAGCTTACCAATAAATGAATTGCACATGAAGAGTTTGGATAAAATATCAAGATTTCTGCTTTAGAGAGTTGAGCAGAATGTCAGTACAAATGCACTCACCGATCAGTTCGTGCTTTGTAAGACATCATCGTGCTAAATTTGACAATATTGAATGGCCTATCATTATTTATTCCTTCAATCGCCAACACATCCTTCGTGAAATTCGTTTCGTTCGCCCACACATCATTTTTCGAGACACAAAATCGCATGAATGAGCTATTTGGAGAATTAAATCGTCTTTCATCATTGATGGTTAAGGACAAGTTTCAAGAAGATACAAAGTCTAAAACTATGTTACAAGTATCATATTTTTTTTTATTTATAAAATACGTTAAAAACAAAAAAACAAGTATCATTATAAATCCGAAGTGGAAAGACTCGCGAACCGTTCGCACACACATCCATGAAGTCACGACAGACTATACATAGAGTGAGATATAGCAGACTTGATGTGAGAAAAAATGTCCTTGGTAACAATATGTTGAAAGTATCAACCAGTTCAAGAATGAAATAGAAAGACACCAATATTTTTTTTCTGGGCCCACCCAAGGGGAAGGGGGGGGGGGGCGGTCCCTTAGATTAAAACACATATATATTTTACATATTATTTAATTGAAGTAGATAAAAATCTCTGACGATCAATTGTAAATCAATGTTTCTTATATTATCAAGATATGCATCAAATGTGTTTTCATCGATCGAGCATCAAAACAAATAAATATATTTTTTTATCAAACAGGTAAAGGTCTCACAATAATTTATTTCTATTTGGGGTATTTTAGTTAGGACCAGTTTAATTACTCAATTATTAAAAAAATCATATTAACATTGAACATATTTCTGTATGTAATAAATTAACTATCTTTATTTCCATTGAAACATATACATGTACACATCATATATTGACAGTGCATAATAATTGTAAAATATATGCACATTGGAATTCACACTAAAATCAAACTAACTGTATCTTGCTGCCTAACATAATAATTAAAGTTAGCATGCAAGCAAAATTATTGCACTCTTTTTATGTGGTCTGACATAATGTACTGTCAAAAGAGAGAACATGTAGTTTATCCATACTTGGCATTCCTGTGTTGCTACATGTAAGGTCACACTCTGACTATAAAGATGAATTTACAGTTTTGCTGCTAATAAGATCTCTAAAAGTTCAATTGTTTTACAAAGGGTTCTTGGATGCAGTACTGACAACATCCTTATCAATGTAACATATCTGTGTTTGACTTAATATTCCAAATAGTGAAAGCCAAAAAGATGTGACAATATAATGTAAAGGGGATAAAAACGCAATGTTTGATAGAAATGTCAAATCAAGTAGCAATCAGACATGTTTATTTTGTTCATTCATTTTGCCAATTTTTCTATTATCTGTCCATGTGAATATTGCACTGCATATTGGTTGGCCCGGTGAGTAGTCCACAAGTTGTGTTCAAAAAAGGCTTCTTCAAGTTTAAATCAGCTGTCAAAACATTTCATAAATTCGTGTAACAAACTACCCTTTTAAAAAATGTGATTTCGGTTCTTCAAAAGAGAGCATGAGAGATATTCCTTTGATCTAGCCTTAGGTGTGTGATCAAAATATCAATGCCTGGTAGGAAACTGACACCACTTTTATTTCCTTGGGTATGGCATTGCACAGAATTTGTCAAATATTTCACTACGCATGCACAGAACCATTACTTCCGGTTTTTCAAAGCCTATGGGATTTATAATGGAGACATTTTTTGAACGCTTACTGTGCGAGTGGTGCTGGTTTGACACCTTAGTAATATCAGGTTTCTATAACTAGACATTCTTAACTAGACATCAATTTCTTTTGATTTAACATGTTTCAATCGATGTACATTTGCAAACTTCAAAGCATATAATCTCAGGTTTCTGTAACTTTAAAGGTAGATCTGTTTGATTCCATTTAGAATAGGGTCCGCATACCTCTAACTTTTCGGCCCATTTGTTTTGAAAAAGTGATAAAATCAGCATGAATTCAAGCGTGACGCCATTCTTGGGTGCACAGGGATGCTTTGGACTTATTTACAAAGAGCTATTTCCAATGACAGCTCATTAAAAATGCGAAAATAAAATTAACATGACAATTAAATGGTATATTCTTTCCCTTTTTATTGAACAAGGGCCATTCAAATGGTAACTAACAGAATATTACATTTCGGAATCGGGCATTTACACTTTATGTCGAGCCACATATTTTTTAGTGAAATTACGTCACGATTTTAGTTACGACGTAACATCTATCGGCTATTCGACCAATTCTGTGCAATGGTCTAAAATTTCAAGTGATCTCCATTTCTCCAAAGGAATTTTTCTCAAGTGGGTGCAAAATTCTCATTTTCAGACCAATATAGGTCAAAATATGCCAATTTTCTCATTTTCAAGTGTGTTAAAATAGATTTTCAGGTGTATGCAAGCCTATTTTCAAAATTTTAGGTGGTTGCTATGCCCACTTGCTTAAATGCTGGTGGATATCTATCATTATTTTTGAATAAATCATAATTTATGATCTGTTTTATGTTCTATTGTAGTATTTGAATGGGGTAGGAAGCAATTCATTTTCACATTTGGAAAACATTGAAATGTTGAAAGATTTCCGAGAGGAACTAAAACATGCATTTCCCCCCAATCTTTTATTTAGTTTCCCATCAGACATTGATATTTTGATGCCATCCTTACCCGGAATAGATGGATCACATTTCAGCTACCTGATCAAAATTGCAATAACAAAACTTCATGCCTCAAAAAAATGCTAGCCTTTATTTCATATTCAAACTCAAATCTGATGACTGCTACTTCTGAGGTCATAAAGATGTTATAAGCATGTGCTGTACATGTGTTTGTCCTTTTAAGAGGCTGGTTACTACCACTGGCCTCTGAGACTCAGGGTTCTAAGTTACAAAATGGTATTTATCAAAATTTTGTATTTTGGATCTTGGCAATATCCTGTTTCTTTTGGACCGCATCTATCTGAATAAAGCTCAAAGTCAATTCTAATTCATAGTTAAGTGTTGCCAATACATCAGACCTTGCTTTCATGACGTCTTAAACTTGGCAGAGTTTTTTAAGAAACATGGGCATAAAACTTGTATAATAGGCCTGTGCAAAAAAGTCAAATGATTGAATTTAAAAGGGGCTGTATCTGTCATTCTGATCCTATTTTGGCATTTTAAAAGGCAACTCAGTTAAGGTGCAGTGAAACTTAAAGTCCCCGTCTAAAGTTTGAAAATATTTTTTTATCATTCATTTACTATTTGTCATGACTTAAAAAGTTATTTTAGAGATTTTTGAAAAAAAAAGTTTTTGAAAAAAAAGTTGTGAGCATTTCATTTCTCAAATATTCAAATTTCCCGCCATTTTTCAAAAAAAATTGAAATTTTTTAATTATCAAATATTTCTTAATGCATTTCAAAAAAGATTATCCTTTTAACACCAATGCAAAGATTGAACAAAGGACACACTATTTCAATAATAAAATGCCATATTTAATGGGCCACTTCAATGTTTTAGCATATCAAAAATATTTTGAAACATTAGTGATGTCACAAAGGTACCAAAAACTTTTTGAAAAAAATTGAAATTTTTTTTTCGATGTCTATCTTTTCTCAATATGCTAGACTTCAATAATCAATCAATGTTGATTGTCTAATTAGGTTAAAAGGAAAAATATATTATGATTTAGATATCATTGTACCATTGGTTTCTATGAGAACTAAAATTTTGAAATGCATTTTTCTCGGAACCATTTTCTTGCACTGATAAGTTCATGTCTCGCTTATTTATGAACCGATTTTCTTAATTTTTTCAGCAAAAAACATGCAAGGATGAATGCTATGCATTGGTATGAATTGTGGCTAATTAAAAGATATATGTGACCTCTAAAAGTTAGTTTTAAATAAATTCACAAATTTTTGAACAAAAAGTCTATCAAAAACCACTTTTTGAAATTAAAAAAAAAAGTTTCACATATCACACTTTGATAACATTGGGTAAGACTACAATATAAGCCAAAGTGGTTTAAACTTTAAACGGGGACTTTAACAGGAAATGACAAAACAGGAAGTGACAAAAAATGTTCGCGGGTTCGCATTTGAAAACTTCGGCCTAAAATCACTTGAAAAGTGCTCCTTTAAAAATTTTTTTGTTAATTTAGGATCAGAATTACATATACTTCTGGCCCTTAGCTATAAATGGGATGATACATAAAAACAACCGCTACTTTTGAAAACAAGCCAAAAATATGTTAACAAAAGTACACTTGGATAGAAAATATTTGCCTATTTTTCACAATGAACATTTCAAGCTGACGATAGATACTTTTACTTAATAAAAACACGTTTGAAATTAAATGTTTGAAGAAGTAGGGTATACCAAATACCAATAAGTCTAGGAACCAATCAGATTAAAGGTACATTACAATATCCCCTCATAAGCTTTGTTATTTTCCTAGATCAAATTAAAAAATCAGCTGACCAATATCAAAAGTTAATCAGCCCTTAGCTTAACCCCTGGGACCTTATTATTTCTATCTGTAGTCTGTACCTTATACTAATCACATTCACATGTAGTGTTCAATTGTTCCAACATGTCCAATATGCCTACTTTGATACCCTCTGCCAGCTGTAAGGCAGAATAAGGCTTAGCTATAGGTGGTACATGTATGAAGGCTGAGCAGGATCGGTTGATGTGGAGAGATGTATAAAAGGAGAAGTCACATAAATACCTGAAATATAACAGACATACATATTATAAAACAATCAAGTGGGAGATGTATAGTATCAGTGTTCATGACACCAGAATTAAATGACAACTTGGGGACGTGAAAAATGTCAATGTGAACACCAAATATATATCTTTTCTAAATTGCCGATTGTCTCATTACATTCCACATGGGAACATTGATGTAGTCTCATTGATGATGTTTTCATCATATTTTATGTCTAATTTACCATGAGTCTGACTTGGCTTGCTCTCAACATATTATTCATGAATAAAATTATCTTGACGACAATAATACTAATAAAAAACACCCACCTTCCAGGGTCTGTAGAAACAATAGATTGGACGCTACATTTTGTTGAATTATTGACAGCTTCGACCACTCTGTTCATATCTATTTGCGATACAAGGCACTGGTCGCCCCCTTCAATACAGCATTCACTGTCAGGGTGACAGTTGTCAACATCATATTTATCATAGCCGTCATTGTGGGCTTGTTGTTCAAATGTAAGTGATTTAGCAATCCCTGATACACCAACATGAATCATAAGCTAAAACATACAATGTTTAAAATGCCCTCATGCTACAAATCTACAAGTTCAGGTAAGAAATTTATTAAACTATGGAAGACTGTACCTAAAATTTAATGGTTATGTTTTTCCGATGTTAGGGGTACTATAGACAAATTAAAAATGGAGTGAGTCCAAATTTATTGACTCAAACTGTAGAGTACACTGTACTATATAAAACAAGATAAAATTTGAATCGTAAGTCACGATATTTGGCGAAACTTCAAAACATGAAAAACTTGTTTTCAAGAAAAATTTCAAATTGAGCTTTAGTATTGCGACAATGGGTGTGCCAAATTTAAAATGATAAAAACAATTAATAACTTGGTTATTCAAGGGATTCCAGCCAGCTATAAGTACATTTAGGTAACTCTATGCTAACGTTTATCTAATAATGTCAAATATTATATATTTAAGACATTCCAAATCACTTATTCACCATTTATTAGTCATGTGGTGTTAAGTAAATGCACAAGTACATACTCAATGGGTCCTTATATAATCCTTGATGATTCCATTTTTTTGAAGGGCAAATTGCTTTGAATTCAGAACAATATGAACATGAGCTAGTGTCATGATTTTTGGTGGTGCTAAATCAAAATGTTACCTGCTTTAACAATAAATGAAAACACATCCATGCAAAAAGATGTTTGGCAGAGTAGCACATAACTTTTTCATTATTAACAGGGAAAAGTATTAACCCAATGTTTTAATGCTTGAGAGGACAATGTACACTACTGTGTGTACATGTAAAATGGTTAAATTTAAATCAAATATAAAAAGAAATTTATGTTTTTATAACATGTATTTCAATATGTAGACCTCTAAATCAATAATTGTTTTGTAATTTTACGAAATACTTCTATATTCCACTTGAGGAATGAACAGAACCTCAAATATTGATTTCAAAATCAAAAATGTACATAGTACATGCAGCTGTGTTTTGATTTCTTACAAAATATATTTATTCCCAGAAAAACCTAGATCACTTACCATAGGATTGTGTTTCTCCCATAGTTCAGGTAATATTGTCTTAACTGAGGCATATTTTACAGGTATCTCGAAGGTTATCAGCTCAATATCTTCTCTGAGACCAAGTTTTTCCAGTTCTTGGACTGCAAGCCAACTGGCATTCACATAGTGGTTACCGAATGGTCCAAAACCTGTTCAATGAAAAAGTACACGAATTCCATATAGAAACAAAAATATATTGACTGATGAAACTAGTATGTCTGTAGTTAGTCAAATATCAAGCCCTTATGCCCCCCCCCCCAAATAGCCTAGATGCTAGTAGAAAAATCTTGATTTACGTCATTAAAAATTCAAAATTAAGTCAAACTGATGTCATATTTGGAATCTACAGGTCTGGGAAAGGTTGAAGGCACACTGCGTCGCTATAGAATGAATTGCGCTACTATTTTCACAATTGTATTGATATTTGGTGTCAAATACACATATCTTGGTATATTTGAAGTCCCAAAACGGCTTAGTTTCAGAAATATCCCAAATTTAAATTCAAAAATGACCGTTAGCTCCGCACCCTCCGCTCATTTGCTCCGCACCCAATATTTCCCACAGGCTCTGTCTGCATAGTGTGCATGTTATTCCCCCCGAATCAGCCACCTGGTTGCGAAACTGGTAACTACCAACTCGCATCTGAGTAATTCTTTATATACCTATTTTCTTAAAATGTATGGATAAACTATCAATTTCAGCATTTAGAAGTGTAAATTCAGTTCAACGCTTCTATAAAGGGAGTCCCACTTATAGATTTTTAGGATCAACCACGTTATCAGCTAAAATAATGTTCACCCAGGGGGTTTCTTTGTAGATAATGAAAATATACGTTATGCTAGGAGCTAGCAAACATTTATAAGACATCTCGAGAACAAAAGGTTTGAGGCCTGTAATTAGTAGATGTGGGTCACAAAAAGGCAACTCTTAAGTGACAAATTTGGGGCTACCACCAGGTGGTACATCAATGGAACCTTTGTCAAAATGTTCCTTTGGACCCTCTGAAACATTATGAGTCCTTAAGAGTAGCCAATTTTGGGGTTTAACCCATTTTTGAGTGAGTTAAAGGTCACCATGGATACAGCCACACACAATCAAAATGCTGTATCAGAGCCTTGCATCCTCCTAAGCAGGTGTCCAGAATCCGTACCTCCTTCTTCCCCCTGCTATAAGCAGTTAGCATTTCCCCGATTAAGAACTCGCAATTTGATTGGCTGTCGCAACACTGCGACAGCAATCATGTATACGTCATCGGCGCATAATTAGATCACGTGATTCAGTTTAATCGGGCGCGTCCAACTTGGTTATAGCAGGGGGTAAAAAGAAAGAAGATATTCTGGATTTTGAAGCCCTGTGATCGGAGGATGGAGCCTTGTGAACTTGAATATATTTGATATTCTGATATATCCCACGATTAATGTGTTATCTGTACAATAACATCTATTGATATTTCTGATATTATTGAAATCCGTGTGATATTTTCCAGAAAATCGTTTATCAAACTCATATGCGTGTGATATCGTTTATCTCACGCATATCCGTGTGATATCACATTTGCATTTCGTGTCACAATATTGTTAGAAATTAGGTCAGATAATTTATTCTCTTTTGAGAAAATAGGTCCGTTAATTTATTCTCTTTAAGTTTCATTGGTGTATTGAATTACGATTGTGTATATACATGTAATTTGATTAGAAGGCTGCTAACTAACTATTAAAAAATGGTATTTATGACGAACTATATAATAATATCATGTTATATACTTTTAATTGTTAAAATAAAGTGTTTCAAATATTCAATTGATATTCTAATTTCTAGTTTATATTGTCTGCCAATGTCCTGGAAATTGGATCAGAACATCACAAGGTGATTGTAATCATGGGATAAACCCAATATCACATAATTTCTCGTGATATCATTTTATCGCCTCGTAGATATCAAATATCAACACTCATTCGCTTTGCTCACTCATGTTGATATTTGCTATCAACTCAGCTATAAAAATGATATCACTCAAAATGATGTGATATTCTGTATATATCCATAAAATATGTAAGAAGACCTTTCTTACAAGCCATAATTCATCAATCTATGACAACTGAATCCAGAGATATTGGACTTTTTGTCTCAATTTTGATCTGAAAATGTACATTTTTAAGTCTCGTCTAATTTGCATTCGTAGCTTCAGGCAAAAGGTGACAGATCAGTAGAAGTGACAGATTAAACAGCTCAAAATAGTATTCTAAGAACATTTCCAAGGTTTGTGTAATATTGTAATACAGCTTTTATAATGATGAATCACTTTTTTGTAATTTAAATATGACGTTATATAGTGCCCTTACCCCTTCAAAATAGAGGAAAGCAGGCATAGTCAATGTAATCATTTTGCAGCATTAAGTTGGAAACATGTGGCACTAGAAAGTGAATCAATGCATCCAAAGCATCTTCATAGTATATGTTGTTTGACATTGATGACATTGACTATGCCTGCTTTCCTTAATTTTGAAGGGGTAGGGCACTATAACGTCATATTTAAATTACAAAAAAGTGATTCATCATTATAAAAATTGTATTACAATATCATCCAAACCTTGGAAATGTTCTTGGAATACTATTTTGAGCTGTTTAATCTGTCACCTTTTGCATGAAGCTACAATTAACAAACAGATGCTTAAAAATGTACATTTCTGATCAAAATTGAGACAAAAAGTTCAATATCTCTGGATTAAGTTGTAACAGATTGATGTATTATGGCTTGTAAGAAAGGTCTTCTTACATATTTTATGGATATATCAGAATATCATTATATTCAAGTTCACAAGGCTCTGATACAGCATTTTGATTGTGTGTGGCTGGATCCATGGTGACCTTAAACTCACTCAGAAATGGCTTAAATCCAAAAATTGGCTACTCTTAAGGACTTATAATGTTTCAGAGGGTCCAAAGGAACATTTTGACAAAGGTTTCATTGATGTACTCGAGATGTCATTTAAAACTAATTTTAGCGGCATTTCAAAAGGTGCCCCCTGGTGGTAGCCCCAAATTTGTCACTTAAGACTTGCCTTTTTTGGGATGTTAGACCCACATCTACTAATTACAGGCCTCAAACCGTTTGTTCTGGAGATGTCTTATAAATGTTTGCTAGCTCCCAGAGTATTAGTCTTGATGAAATATCCAAACTTAAATATATTTTGACACTGGTCGATGATTGTTGAATGCCCCCCCCCCTGCACTCATTGTTGCACCTTTAAATAAAATATCATTTTAAGTCAGCAATCAAGAGACTTTGATAAATAGCTTATTTTCTGAAAATGCCAAGGCTTACAAATATTTTCTAACATATGTAATTAAAGGATTAGTATGGCAGCCATCTTGTTTTTCCCCTTTCAAATTAAAGTGGCTGGAAATTAATAAAAACTAAATCCTAAATTATATTTAAAAGACATGATTTACTTTTAATTCTTCATGGGTCTTTAAGTTATGTCTACTTTATATGTCATTCATGTTGCCATTGGTGTTTTTTCTCTGATAATGACCCGGGATAATGATTATTTGTTTTCTGTTAGGATTATTTACTTATTTTGATTCTCAGCAGGGGGTTAATTATGCATCAAAACTCATGAAAATGTACTATCAAATATAACTTGGACAGTAATAAAAAACATATTTCACATACATTTAACTGAGGGACCAAAAGGGCATATATCCAGACTCATCCTTTAGGTGCAAATATGTCAAAATATCTACTAGTTACAAAACTCCATAATTGATATCTAAGCAACCATTAAATAAACTATGATCATAGTCATGTAGTCATTTGAACATAGTTTCTTATATAAAACTAGATAACGGCAACTCCGCGGAGTAGCAAATCCCAACGAACAAAATATCAATTACCGAATTCCAATCAATTATACTCATTACTTTGGTTTAAATTGAAAAATTTAGATTTTAGAATTGCGAATTCCTGCAAAGCAGCCATTTTGAATTTTCTGAGGTACAAATCTGAAAAATAATACCATAATTGTGATCTACTCCAAAATTCCTTCAATTTGAGTATAATATAGCCATACTGAAGGGATCGAAAAATTATTGCGAAATCGTACATTAGACGGCCATTTTGAATTTTACGAGGCTCGAGTCAGAAAAAAGATACAATATTTGCAATCTACTCTTAATTGCCTTTCATTTGAGTATAATAAAGCTATACTTCAGAAAGATCTAAAAATTAGCAAAAATTTCTGTTTTCCTGACCCCCCATACACGGCCCCTGGGGATCAGGATGAAAAACACGGAATATATGTGAAAAAGATAGAGGTTGCGAATATACTACCAAAATTTCAAACAATAATATTAATTACTTTGGTTTAGAATGAAAAATTTTTTTTTTTTTTGCGTAAAACTATTTATCAATATACATCTTTCCACCAAATATGAACAAAATCCATCAACTAATATTTGGTGAAAATTGAAAATTTACAAGTTAATTATATCTTAGCTTCATAGTTAGCCTTGAGGCCTGGGAATATAGTTACAAAATATTTGAAAATCACATTACTATGTTACATATCCATGATTCTCAGCTTTATTCATTGTCATAATCCTGTCAAGAGTGCAAATATAATTCATTTATTTACTTAAACTACACAACACAACAAACTAGATGACATTTTAAACATTTTAAATCTTATTTTTAGGCCAATTCAATCTCCCTCTACTCCATCTGTAAATCTGTCTATCTGCCAAAATGGTGTCACATTTATAACTACCCTTGACGTCAACAGAAATCTAGTTTAAAGTTGATTAAGATAATTATCAGAAGAAAAAAAATGGCAACTGTGATAACTACATGTACATCTATTTTAGAACTGCACTGTTGTGAGGTGAATGCCCGGGTGAATGCATGCTTTTCATTGCAACACATGCCATCTTTTGAGTAATAATGGTATCATCATTCTTTTTTTTGGGGGGGATGTTCGATTTTTTAAATTCCAAGGGGGGTTGAATTTGAAAATTTTGAACCCAAAAAAGTAATTTTGGTTAACATAAAAACTACATATTAACATATTAGATGCAGAGTTACATGATGTGCCAGAAAAGTACAGAAAAACATTACACAAGGTTATACAATGTTGATAAAATAGAATATTTTTCATTACATCATCAAGGTCAAAATCCATTTGCCCCTGAAAAATTTCCACCTGAAAATCCATTTGCACCTACTTGGAAATGAGAAATATCGTGGAAATTGGCATATTTTGACCAATTTTGGTCTGAATTGTGAAAATGAGAATTATGCACCCATTTGAGAAAAAAACCTGTGGAGATCACTGAGATGAGTGCTTACCTGTCACTACCACTTTTGATCGAGGGGATTGTATATGTTGAACTGCTTCTGTGTTGTCACCCATAGCTTACAGAGTAAACTAGGTCTGAAATAATAAATGGACATATTAAAGACAATGAGTGCTGTACAATGTAATCAAAGAATTCATGCCTTGATAACCCTGCATTGCTTACAGATTAGTTCTCTATAAACAAAGACTTTTTGCATGTCATGTGTCATGATACTTAACTTGGCATTGACACTTACAGCAAGATGTGATTAGATTGCTACATGTGCACAAATATTCTTACCCTTGGGATAAGTACAATACATCAGCTGATGTAAAACAACTAAAAACTAAACAACATTTTTGCGGAGAGGGAATACTAATGATAAATGCCATAATTTTATTTCATCAAAACACCAATTCTTCAAGGCAAGCTTTTGAAGTACAGAGCCATATTCAACATGTCATGCATTTTCAATTTGTTAAATTATACATATCAATATCCAATGATGATATGTCTATCCTATCTCCCTTTCTTAATTCAAAAGGTTAGTAGGATGCGGAATTAGAAATTATTATATTATGCTTCAACTGCATGATTGACATGCATGTATATATAAACAAATGGATGCAACAACATGTAGTCTAAAGATTGCATCAATTTTAAATTGTATGAATGCCAGATCATGTATATCCTATATCTGGCTTAAATTAGTTGTTATACTAGGCTCAGCATTTGGTATCTGGAGGTGCCCTAGGGTCATTAGACTATACAATAAGTAAGATACATATAAATTATTTGCATGAAAACAACACAGGAAAATGATTGATTAAAGGAGATCATATTTTTTCAAAAACACTGATTTTTAGATTGGGACATTGACGCATTTAACGGGGTTTGTAGAAAAAATGGGTACCGGGTAGTAAATCCTCCATGCTGGGTTGAAACTTGGTACCCGGTCGAAAAAACCGGGTACCCCAAAAAAACGAAAAATACGAATATATAACATATATCATTAGAAAATGTGTAAGATTTGTTTTGAATTTATAAAAATGTATGCAACTTCCTTCAAAATTGAGCTAGAAGCTTCAAATAAAAAGCGTTTTAAGGCTCTTTTCTTCCTCTATCATCATGGTCATATTTTCATTGGTTATGTGGGGAAGGTGCGATCGCACCATCGCACCCCTCCTGGCTACGCCTATGACATAATAAGGGCATTGATAATGGGAAGTTGTCTATATGTGTACTGAATACTCCAGGTTTGGCCTCTTGAATCAGAAAAAACTGGCTCCGTCCTGAGATGTCGGTATTCACTGACATTATAACTGGCAATAAATTTGTAATCCTATGGCAGGGTTTATACTTATGTCCCGAGTGAGTATTACCCAGTAAGCCAGATCATTGTAATAGTGTCAATGGCTCAAAATATTTATTGAGCTACTACTGGTATAAAAAGAAATAAAAAGAACAATTTCAAAACTGGGTCCGCAAAAGAAGCAAAATGTATAATCTAGACACAAAAAATGCATCCGAAAGCGGGAATTGCAGAGCTGTCAAGTGTCCCGCGAATGGCGGGATTATCCCGCAAATTTGATCAAAACTAGGCATATCCCGCAATGTCCCGCGAAATCCCACAAATGTCGGCTTTGACCTCCGCGAATTTCCAAAATTGTTGCAATCCCCTATATTGTGATTATCTTATCTTGTATAAGAAGCTTTTTTTAGAAGTTTTTTTTGCACTTTTGAGGAGTAAAGTAAATTACCTAATTTAAAGTACCTACATGTAGCATGTTGTTTGGTATCAAAATAAAGAGGAAGAAAAAAATTTGGGGCCAAAAAAAGCCTAATGGCCCCAAAAAGTGGGCCTTTTTGGTCATTACTGGGTCTTTTAAGGCCTTATTTTTTAATTTCAGCCCAAATTTCGAAGAAAGTGGGCCTCAAAATTTGGGCCCACTTTTGAGTTTTAGGGGCCCAAATTCTTTTTCGGAAGTTTTTTTCTCTGACATGAAATTTGCCCCCCCCCCTTGTTGGTTCCCAGATCCGCCCCTGATGGGGGTAAGCATTTCATAGTTTGGTCACGAACGCCATAAGTGCAAAGTATTGTTCAGAATTTTGGAATTTCGTGTTAGATTACGGTACTCACACCTGAAGCATGGTTTTTGTTTTTGATAAATTACAATAAAGTTTAATAATCATGCGGTACTAACTCACCGGGGCATATCGAAACCTACCCTGCATGCAGAGTCTAGTTAAACTACACTCTGCCTAGTAGAGACCATATTGCAGTTTAGTAGCCCCGCCCCACGACGGGTACCGGTGACAGTTTGGGAAATAAATCACTTCTGACCTACGCGCTGACCTTTCTTCCACCAATCAGCGAGCTTGAAGAAACATACGCCAAATGCGCTCTTATTAAATATGCGCATGTCATTGGTCAATTCCGGGCTCAACGATGACGTCAGAAGGAATGACCATATATAGAACGTCGGTCAAATTTGGCCGACGAACATTGATTGGCGCGGTGAGTTCACAGGTTTATTTTAGTTTGAAAGAGTGAAGACGAAGCTCTCTTTTAAGAAGTGAAGTCAAACGAATGCAAAGGGTAATCGAAACCAAAACACCCCGCAAAACCGTTAATTTGAATTTCAAACCTACCCTTTCTTTGGAAAATCAATGATTGTGAGCCTCATAGTATACACCATTTTTCTTCAAACTTGTTCCATTAAAACCTTCACAGAAATACCTTTCAGTCGAGACATTGCATTTGTGTATAGAGTCACTCGTTTTAGCGGCATTTTGGTCACCAGATGTGAGAAGATGCAAATCTTCAGACATTTCAACCAAAAGTCTCGATATACTGTAGATTGGTTTAATTTGTGCTACTTAATTTGGCGATTTTGCCATTTTTGGCATATTGGCGGCTATTTAATTTGGTGGATATGCAAAAAAATGCCTTCAGTGTCGTGTTTGACACAATGTAACCTAGCAGGATGGATGACATAGAACAAACTGCTAAGTAGACACATGGTAACATTTCAGTATTTCAACCATATGAAGTTCACAGAATAAAAAATTAGAATGTAGTGTATTTACATGTATTTTTGAAAATGTCAGTCCTCTATCTTGCCCTACTAGGAGACGATAGAGTGACGACAATAAACTAGATGCGAGTAGAAATAATCTTGATTTACGTCATTAAATATTCAAAATTCAGTCAAAGTGATGTCATATTTGAAATCTACATGTAAAAGTACATCTAGAAATATGGTTTCGAAAATTGTTTATCAACTTTGAAAATTTAATTTATTTTGAAAATGTGATTTCTAGTTCGGGTTGAATCCCCATGGACCCCATGTTACAAAGTCACAAAAAGTGAAATATCTTTTCTTGTAATCGACAAATATCATTTTCCTTTACTGGAATTTTTTTAATTAGCATAACTATTAGATACATGAGCAGAGCTGTCAAGTGTCCCGCGAATGGCGGGATTATCCCGCGAATTTGATCAAAATTAGGCTAATTCGCGTGTCCCGCAATGTCCCGCGAAGTCCCGCAATGCAGTCGAAATGTTGAGACATGCGCAGACCTCTATTTAGCGATATTTTCATTTCAAATATGGCAGCCAATCCGATGTCTGACGACCCTTACAAAGAATCTAGGCAGTGTGCATTTTTACTTCCTGTGAAATAACAAGTGGCATTTAGTAGTTGTTTTGGGTTTTATTATCATTCTGCATCGTAATTCTATGTGATGTGATGTTGAAATGTCAGCAGAAATACATATCCATACGATAATCGTGTGAATCAGATAACAGATTTTTCGGAAACCCGTCTCGTGCTAAGCGTGTAAAAACTTGTATTAACATGCTCAAAAGTGTCAATGTGCACATCAATGTCAAGCTAAATCAATGTTGTGTCGGAAACAGGTACCTGATCTACTCAAAACAGCTTGTCATTCACGTATACACACTTAGCAAACACGGCGAAATGATCTGAATCTTGGAATTTCGTTTGAGAGCTAGTAATGTTTGCTCCGGTCTTCGTCATAAGTGTTTATCAGACTTCACGCATGCTCAGGAGAAAAACCATCAACCAATAACGTTTATAAATCAATTTTGCGCATGCGCCTTACAACGGTAAAGAAATTCGTATTTATAAACGAACCAATTTGAGATAACCCGGTATCAGTCGGAGAAATCTGACGATCTACGAAACTCATTTCAAAAAATCAAATGCGGACTGACGGCGTATTCTACTATTTTTGGATCTAAGATTTTCAGTATAGATAAAGTCTTTTATGATCTTTCGAATGAGGTAAGTCTCTAGTTCGAAAGACAATCGTATCAACTTGAACAAAAGTTGAGTTTTGACGAAAAATTTTAAAATGCGCAGAAGTCCCATTTTCGTTATACCATATTGACTGAATGTGGCTTTGACCTCCGCAAATTTCCGAAATTGTTGCAATCCCCTTTATTGTGATTATCTTATCTTTTATAAGAAGCTAAGTTTTTGCACTTTTGAGGAGTAAAGTTTACCTAATTTTAAGTACCTAGCATGCTGTTGATTGGTATCAAAATAAAGGGGAAAGGTTCAACTTTCATGTTAATTTCGAAAATAGGGATGTAGGTCACAAATAGTTCCAACGTTGGCCTTTTTACTACCCGTGTGGCCTTCATCTCAGAACTGAGCAAATATTAGCAAACGCGAGTTACAATAAATGGACGCTGATATCTAGAAAGGGGTTTGTAGAAAAACACGGGTACCGGGTAGTAAATCCTCCATGCTGGGTTCAAACTTGGTACCCGGTCAAAAAACGGGAACCCAAAAAACGAAAAATACGAATACATAACATAATAGATTATGAGAAAACGTGTAAGATTTGTTTTGAATTTACAAAAATGTATGTAACATCCTTCAAAATTGAGCTAGAAGCTTCAAATAAAAAGCATATTTTAAGGCTCTTTTCTTCCTCTATCGACATTTTGTCGAAAATTGGGATAACTTAAATTATGATTAATAATCAAAATCTTACACGTTGCATCATTTAAATTAACACACGTCACCTCTCTGCTAAAGCAACGATAGCTATTTACAGGTTTAAATCAAAATCAAAACAATTCATGTACCAACATACGAAGTATTGAAAATAGAGTAAGATTGATTTGTCTTGTTATTCAAATCGTCTTACAATGTCATTGGCGTAGCCAGGAGGGGGTGCGATCGCACCCCCCCCTTCATTACCAATGGAAATATGACCATGATGATAGAGGAAGAAAAGAGCCTTAAAATAATTTTTATTTGAAGCTTCTAGCTCAATTTTGAAGGAAGTAACATACATTTTTATAATTTAAAACAAATCTTACACGTTTTCTAATGATCTAATTATGTTGTATATTCGTATATTTCGTTTTTTGGGTACCCGTTTTTTTCGACCGGGTACCAAGTTTGAACCCAGCATGGAGGATTTACTACCCAGTACCCGGTTTTTTCTACAAACCCTATCTAGAAAAGTAACCTCATTTCCTATAATTTGATGTAGATTAATCGAACCCCTATATCATGGGCTTTCAATTGAAATCCCATGCCTACAGTATATGAATAGGTACATTTTAATATATAACATTATGGGGGTAAGCGTTTCATAGTTGGTCACGGCGCCAGAAGTGCAAATTACAGGGTGTCCGGAAAGTAAAGATACAAATGCTCTCATTTTAAGAGATTTATATGTTATGAGATGAAATTGCTCCAGAATGTAGAATGACATTATAGCAATATATCCTGCAACGGTCATGGCTTTTAGTTTTAAAATGAAAAAGTTATGGTCGTTATGGTAACGGGAGTCAAGGGTATGTGGAGCAACGTCACATATGTGTTTTACAAATCTCTTTCCTGCTCATAGCATCTTGGCATTCTTCCATTTATTTCTATATTACATCAAATTATGTACTACAACAGCATAAGGACTAGTACTGTAACATTATTTGATCTCTTAATATAACTACTATCATTGAATATTCAATATTTTCCCCATTATCTAAACATTTTTGGTGCATCTTGACCGCCGATTCAAAGACTTGACAAAATCATTGCTGTCCGTCTCTCAAATTGCTTATAGCATTGACTTCCAGCTGAGACTCATTTTGTATGTCGAACTTCTTACAAATATTGCTTTCAGATGGTCATTAGGTAGAAGTCAAAAAAGGCTCTATCAGGTGAATATGGGGCATTGCATAGGAAGGTTTAATGTCAAGACAATCCATTGTAAGAATTGTTTTCTTTGCTTTGAGAATGGGTGTATTATGGAGATGCAATATTGACTTTCCAACTAAATCCAGAGGCTCTAAACACTTGTATGATATTTCTTTGATTATACTGGTTAGTGAAATAAAATAGTTCTGATATGTAACAATGACATCATTATATAAAAGAAAAACTATGGCAGTAATAATACAAACAACAAACAAAATTTAGCAAAACATTGATAGAAAATACGACAAAAAACGCTGTTTCAGATGATTGTATTTTAGCAATTTTTGACATTTTAGCAATGTTCTGGAACTGCTCCGCATACCCCTCACAGCCGTAACCATAACAACCGTAACTTGATCACGCTAAGACTATATGTGATGAAAATTGGTAGATATATTGTAATAATCTTGCTCTACAATCTGTAGCAGTTTCATTTCAAAAGACCCAAATCTCTTAAAACAAGAGCATTTGTATCTTTACTTTCCGGACACCCTGTATTGTTCCGAATTTTTGAATTTCGTGTTAGATTACGGTACACACCTGAAGCATGGTTTTTGTTTTTGATAAATTACAATGAAGTATAATAATATTCCTATGCGTATTTTGTGAAATTGTGTTGACGTTTATTTAAGTTACAATGTAACGGTGCATTATATTTGATTAATCAGTATCTGAAAGTTTGATTTAAGTACTTTTACACGCTTTTACATTAGTCTCAATCACGCAAATCCCTTGAATGTCCCGGGACATCCTGCAAATTTAGGTGGATGTTCCGCGAAATCCCGCAAATTTAGGGCACTTTGTCTAAAAAATCTGTCCCTCTATGAAGTTTTTGGTGGTACCCCTGTTAACTGTCCCGCAATTAGGGTGTTTGTCCCTCGAATGGTCCCGCGAAATCCCGCGAATTTGATAAAAAAATTGGCCTATTAGCACAATCACGCAAATCCCTTAAATGTCCCGCGAAATCCCGCGAATTTAGTAGATGTCCCACAAAATCCCGCAAATTTTGGGCACTTGGTCTAAAAAATCTGTCCCGCGAGAAACTCTTTAGGGGTTGACAGTACTGCATGAGGGTTATATGAAAATTGAACCACCAAAACAGATGTAATTTAAGTTAAAGGGAACTTTCTACCATACCCGCCATGCTATCTGACCCGAACGAGCCACCTGGTGGTGAAATTGGTAACTACCTACTCGCATCTGCGTTATTGTCGGTACCCAAGCAAATACATACTAGGTAGTCTCCAGTACCGAAAATTGTCAGTACAGGATGCAGGAGACAGTCCGAAGAATTTATTAAGATTTTCGCCAGCTAAAATGTCACTCGACTTTTTTGCAAAAAACCTTCCAAAAAGTAACAGTCACATTAATTCACATTGTCGCACTTACAAAATGATCCACCGCCTAATGTATGCACCATCGAACTCGGTAATATTGCACACGTAACTATTAATTACCGTATATTCCCATAGAAAACTGGGCTTGCTTTTCAACATTTCAAGCGAAAATTCTCTACGGAGCTTTTGTTTTTCTGACGTAATTTCTTCTAAGAAATCGGTGACGTGATAGGTTCAGTTCATCTTATTTCGAAAGGGGTGTCATCTATTTAGAATATTTATTTTCATCTTGTCCAGTCCTATATACAACCTGCCCTTATCCTTTTCGCTTGTAAAACCGCGTAGTAATGTTGAAATTATGGAATAGATTCTCTGAGAGTGGCGACATGTCTGCATCTCTACCATCTTGCGTTTGACACCCCTCGTTTTGGGCGACTCTGGTCAAACTGAGTTTTTGACACTTATGAAAGAATCAATAAAAGGTAAGTGATATACATTAGGCCACGGTTATGGGAAGTCCTCCATATATTACTATTATATTATTTCTCAGGTTACGCATCTTCCATCCAAAATAAAAAATATGTATTTTTAAAATAAATTATTTGTCTAGTTTTCGTTAAACAAATATCCTGAGACACATAGGGCCTGTAGAAAACACTAAACAGAAAAATAAAAAAAATATTCATACCTCCAAATCTGCTTTATTGGTCAGATAAAGCACCAAATCATAATGGTTGTTCAAAATAAAAATTTAAGGGGACGGAGCCGTATCTCCAAACCATTTCGTCCAGTGTTTTACACATGCGCAGTAGAAATTGTCAATTTACTGAGCGGACCCTTCAATGGGCTGGAGAAATTTTACTCATGATAATTGATGATTACTAAACACATATAGGCATAAGAGGTGAGCGACCCAGTTATTTTTGCGTATAAATGTTTCAAGAATAGCATGATATCAAATAATCTGTACATTATGCTACGATTCATTCAAAAATTGAATCTAGAGGACAGGTGACCATATTTTTTTCATTTTACTAACATTACCTTGTGTATACATGTATATACCTCCTAGATGGAGGACTTCCCACTATCCGTGACATTAGGCGGATGCCAAAAATTAAACATGGCGCCAATTTGAAACTTCAGAATGCCTTCTGTGATTCAAAATCACAAACAAGAAAATGCAGCAGAACTCCTCGAGTCGAGGTCTCCAAGTCAAAAAAATGCCCGATCCTCTTATCTGTTGATTATCCTGTTTATAACTGATTCAAGAGCGTTGCACTGAACGAACCTATATGCCAATTTGTTATTTGTTTAGTTGTTGGTTGGGTAACATGTTTATGACGTCACAAATGATGCGAATAATCTTTAAACCAATCAGTGAAGTCTATGTTAATTGTTTGTTTAGTTGTTGATGCGGCAATAAGTGTCTGACGTCACAGATGATTGCATCATATTCAAGTCACGCCATTTTACGACATTGCATAATTTTAGCTGATTTTGGCTTCATTTCACTTTATTTGAAAGACTTTTAAAAATATAATAATGAGTCAGTATTTTTTCTAATAAATATTTATATTTGAATTTGAGGTCAAAGTTCGAAAATTTGATCAACTGATTGAAATCACAGTTTAAAGAGGTGAAGAAGTGAATAATTACAGGAGCAAACGTGATCAATGGTTCGAGGTCTCCCGCAAAGTAGTCGCTACGCTCCTACTTCGCGCTGCCTTCAGCAGAGGAGACCTCGAAAAAAAGTCGAATGACATTTTATTTGGCGAAAATCTTAGCCATGTATATTTACATGTGCGACAGCATGATAGCGATAGTAATTATTTATGTTCCCCACTGTAGTTTACTCACTGTTTAGTTCAGATCTTTTCATAGCTGAGGATTGTTTTCTATATTGAAGAAAAGATAAAAACATTGAACAATAAATCTGTGATTGTCTTCACTGACAGTTCAACTTTGACTAATCCAGGACCAACAGGGTCTAGCGCGATCATTTTTCTAGCCGGAACAAAGTCTGATCCTGTTTGCTTGAAAAAAGCAGTCAGTGCGAAAAGCAATAACTTTAGTGGGGAGGTTCATGCTTTACACCTTGCACTTGATTTCCTGCACACTTTACCTATTAACAATTCTGAAATTCACATCTTTGGCGATTGCCAACCTGCACTTTTAAGTACTTTCAGAAGTAGCAAACCCAGGTCTGAAATTCAATGCATAGAAAATTCTAGGTATTTGGTCCACTGCCTGAGTGCAAGCTGTAATGTATTAACCTACTACTGGGTGCCAAGTCATCTCGGAATTCAAGGCAATGAATTAGCCGACACATATGCCAAGGAAGCAGTGGCGGAAGCAGCGACCCTGCCAATAACCTCTATGAAACAAAGCAAAGAGGAGGTCTACAGAACCATTAAAAAGACTGCCTTGAAAAAATGGCAGAATCTTTATGACAATTCTACAAAAGTTAAATTCATCCAAGAGATTATAGAGACTGTAGATGTACAAAATAATCTCTGTGAGAGCAATAGAACAGAATTCTGCAAAATAAACCAACTCATAACAGGTCACTCAAAGCTGAATCACCATCTAGCAAAAGTTCAAACTGACATTTCCAATCTATGTGAGCACTGTAATCGGGCAGAGACAGTCCAACATTATATCTTTGATTGTGAATTATATCAGGAAGATCGTGAACTTATGCTCCACAAGGCAGAGACTATACTTTTAGGGGTAGAGAGCCCAAACCCATCTATTGACCTAAAATTGCTCTCAGGATTTAATCAATCACTAAACAGGACCCAAAATCAAAGTATGAGACATTTGTTAATGGCATACTTAAAAACAACCAAAAGAATATAACAAACCAAAAACACGATACAGATAGTGACTGTGTAAACAGAAAGTGACTGTATAAATAAATAAATAGATAATGGCTGTATAAACAGAAAGTGACTGAATACAGTGATTTAATATTATAATTTCTTCTTTTATGAGAGAGTCAATCAAGACATACAATATATATAAAATAATGGAATACAAAATCTGCGCAACAAGTGTAAATTGAAGCACATGAGAGAGCACAAAGAGAATCTACAGTACACGAGACGAACTGCCGAGGAAACAGCGGCTTATGCAACACAACAACAACAATATATCAATAGCTCTCAAAATAACAGGATCACAATATGCAGAATCAAGTATGGGTGGGATAAAAAGTGAAATTACTTACAAAATGTATGGATGTTTTTATTTTGTCCAACTTCCTGTTAGGACTGAATGAATCGAAAAATTTTGATTGGCTGAAATAGAAATTCACTCCGTAGAAATGTTTCCGATTCATCAAAATGCGGAAGAATAAATCGGAGCTATATTATTCGTGTTTACTACTCTTACTTGCATTTTGGTCATCAACAGATGGTTTGTATACATAAACAAAAATATTTTTTTGACTATTGTGTGTATTTGTAGTTGTAGTATTTCGATTAATTGTACAATTTTTTGTTAAAACCTGGCTAATTTTGTTAATTTGTTGTCAGGAAATACTGAAACGAAAATAAACTCAGCTAAAACCAGTTGTGAATTTTTGAGGGACGGTTGCATATCGACTTTTGTATTTTCTACAGTGCAGAATGATATAAATTTATCAATGGACATTGTTGTACATTTATCTGATTCCAAGACTATGTACAGTTTGGGACAAAAATAAATGACAGGTCGATTTTCGATCACCATTTCCTAATTATGGTGTTCTGAAAGCCCATAATTTCAAATATTGTCTAGATATATATCCCTTAAAATTTGTATATTTTACATTTTGTATAATCTCATCCACTGATGTATGGCCTCTTGTAAATTCTCTTATTTTTAACATGGGAAATCCTCACTTAAGCAAATCCACCTGTCATTTATTTATGTCCCCAACTGTAGTTTGGAGTTTGTCCATAAGTAAATGAGTCATGATTTCCCGGGCATGATTTGCCGAGGTGAGGATTATAGTTTGAAATGCTTAGAATGCACCATACAGTATTAGAGTCCATTTCACTGCTTCATTTCGTCAGTAGAACGGCAAAAATAAGAAATTTGGAGACCATTGTGCAATAATATATGGAAAAGTATATTCATAATCTACATGAATGACATTTGTATATCTTGGATTGCTTCTAGTTTGGCTTATAAAGTGTGTGGCCTCTTATATTTGGATGTTTCTCTGCCATGTTATTTTCAATAAGATTAACATGGCTGAAATTCTTCAAATTACAAGACGGCACAGGCTTATTGCACAAAAAACTAAAAAATTTGAAATATACAAATGTCATTCATGTACATTATGAATATACTTTTCCATATATTATTGCACAATGGTCTCCCAATTTCTTATTTTTGCCGTTCTACTGACGAAATGAAGCAGTGAAATGGACTATACAATGTTATCTACAAATTTCCGGAGGTGAACCCCGTACCCCTTATTTGGGCTTTCTTCCCAGCGATGCAAACCTTAAAAATTGTACCCCCATGACAATTGCTGGCTATGGCCTTGTAAATATAGACTATATCCAATTGACTGAATTTCCTGAGAATTCACTCTATTGATCATTATGTCCCTCCTGTGGGCAAAAACAGGAAATTCCCTGCACACAATTATCAATTTTAGGAAACTTAACATCCCAAAAATAAGCATTATAACAATTCAATAAGTAGTAAAGTACACTATAAAAAGTAACACAGCATATTGTCAAATGGAAATGAAGCTAGGTCCTTATATGTACACTATCTATTTGTAAATTTGTACCACTGAACACTTCATCATTACTCTTGCAAAATATTATTATTATGATGATATACTGTAACTTATTTTCGAAACCATATTGTGCTGAGCATAAACATACCTTAATTTTCAGCCGATATTACCACCACAGATGAAACATCTACACTAACAAGTGCTATCAATCAAACTATAGAATCAACCTTAAGTTCCACCACAGAGACAATAACAACAACAACTAAGGGACCTAACAGGACAGACTGGAGTCATATTACAAAGTGCCCTAGTAACGTACAGTGCAACTTACTTGGTCCTGATTGCATAGAATGTCCAGGTTACACCATAAATTGTATATATGGAGATGAGGTTGCTGTCACCTGTACTGCTAAGCCTGGCTTGAACTGCACTGTAAGTAAAGTACTCCTACCCACATTCTCTTTAATAGTTTGATATGAGTGTAATATCCTTACTCAGTTTGTTTATTTCATGGTATGAGGAAAGTAGTTCTATTTAAAACCTGTTTGGGGACTTCATTCAGTGGTATACTACAGCACCATCTTTGGATAAAATAGTCTAATATGCAGACATATAATGCCAAGAGTAACTGGGAAACATGTGATCATAACAGTGAACGGTAAAATATTTGGGATAATTTTCTGCAGATGGATGTGTTTGGTAGTGGTGAATTGGTCAATGTACATAAATATGATGACGTTTTGGCACTCCAACTATGTAAGAGAGCAGAACTTTTGATTTTCTTTTGATGAAGGTCAGATGTTTTGCTGTATTTCTCTAAAATTCTTTGAAAATCGATGAGCTGCGATTTGAGAAAATCTAATATGTACTTTGTTATTTTAACATGCATCTCAATGGTACAAAGGAGAGTTCTACCGATATTTTCCTCACATACATTGTAATGATTGTATCCCCACTGGCAAATGTTGGTTTTGAGGTAGTGTGGGCAGCTAATTATACCTTATACATGTACATGTAATCTAATTTGTGTATGTTGTGTAGATCAAAGTGACTCCAAAGTAAAACGAATAATTGTTTTATGGCACTATTTCTGTCATAAACATTATTTTCTTTTTCCTTTTAGGGACCAGAGCAATTTGAGAAGAGACCCATATGCAGATTCTGCTACCAGACAGAACCATGGGAACATACTTGTACAGACACTACCAACTGTAAAGTTGTCAATACAACACGCACCAGCAACCCTAGGGGTGTCTATATATCTAACTGCACAGTCAAACAACACATTTTATGTTTAGGTAATACACAATTTTGGAATTATGGATCCACAGCCTGCATGATCCCTTAGAATACACAGGCTGTGGGATAACAACTGCAGAAAATCTTTTCAAGCCTAAAATTAAAGGACCAGTTAAAGGTCCACTTTAGGAATTTTCCAAATTTTTGGGCAAAATAAAGACTTACATTTAAATCCATAGTATGTCTTATTATTGATAAGAACTTTATTTTTCATTTGACACCAACAACAGCTCAAATGGATCACATCAAAGCTTACAATAAATTATCAAAAAATATTTTTGATCTGTCAAGCTTTATATATCAAGTTTTTATCAATGTCATTGAAAGATGGCAAAGTTGTTTGTATTACATGATACATTCATTTTTATAGAAGTGTCGCCATCTTTTAAAGCAATAGTAATTTAAAACATGCACTTTGTTTAACATGTGCATGCATGTCTAATGATCTCCGAACTTCAAATAATTTTTTCTATGTGAGTTATTTTTCTGGGTTCAATATTAAAGCAAATCAAACTTTGTGTCATATTTGAGAAAGTGTGTGAGTAACATGTTTCAATGATTATTTTGTATTCCTTTTTCCTCTAAATCAAGTACAGTGTGCCTTTAAATCAAAAAGAATCAGCTTATTAATCATGAGTATCAGGAGAAGGCATTAGCTTATGTGACATAGTAACAGGGGCGTCGGATCATATTTTTCAAGGACTATAAATAGTTCTTTTCTGATAACATTAAATCGGTGTTTTTACGATTTATCAGATTGATATTGGTAGTTCCGTTGATATCAGCCGCTGATCCAGGATTTTGTGTTAGGGGGAGGGGGGATTGATAATGGCTATGAGGGAAGTGAACCATGACAAGTAAGCGCAACTAAACGTACCATGAGGACCAGAATAGGGGGATATGGGGGGTTCTCCCCACAGAAAATTTCGAAAATTGAACATCGTTCGGTGCATTCTCAGCAATTTCAGAGCACAATATCTTGCATATGAAATCATTACGTTCTAACAAAAGGTGCTCCCCTGAATCCGCCATTGGGTACCCAAATAAATAAAGAATATCCCTGGTCATCATTTATTATTAACCAAAACATTATTTTTCTGTTGCTCAGTGTGTTGCTACATGCAACATTTTCTGTTTTAAACGATGGATTCATTTTCAAAATTTTTAGTCCAATAGATCTACCGCTAACTTGTTCCCTTGCGAAAATACACTACATTTAAAAAGTAGGCTTATACGTTGATTTCTCGGAACATTTTTTTAAAAATAGTTTCTGGAAAAAAGTGGTGGATAGCTGTCTATTTATTCCTCCAATCTGCTGGGAACGTGATGAGCATATTGCCAGGTCTGGAAATGCGAGAAAACATTCACAGAGAGACTTCCAAATTAAATTACACCTCACTATTTTTGAACGAAAATATTTCATTACAAAATTATATGTTTACGTGAATTGATTACACCGTTAAAGGATTTACACAATGGTAGCCAGTTTTAAACAAATCAGTGGAGTGGAATATTTTCATTTTGAGCTTCCGGAATTATCTGACATTCGTAAGGTATATTCACAAAATAATTAAAACATTATCACTTTATGGTTGAAAAAAGAACCTTTTGAATATCGAACATTGAAAAAATTAGAGAAACACTTAGTGCTATAAAAACTTCAATCCTTACAAAAAATAAATAAAAAATAATCTTTACATGAGTAAATATAATGAGTGTGGTCAAACAGAATTCCATCTTGAATAATCCTTTGTAGTCATTAGTATGATCATTTTGGTTTAACTATAAGTTTAAACTGGAAAACAATAAGAAAAAATATTGTAACAATAAAAACAAGAACCACTAAGAGTGCTCTCTGAAATGAATTTAATGTAATATATTTGGGAGAATAAGAATGTACATTCTTGACAAGCAATAATTCATTCCTCTATATCCACTGGTTTTCTTGGAGAATGCACTTGCTAGGGACACGTTTTGTCTCATGAGTCTCTCTCAAGGAAAATAAATTGGAAATTATGACATCATAAAAAGAAAACAAAAGATATACAATTTTGGAATGAATTATAGATAAATGGAAACCCAGTGATCATTGCCAGGAAAGTTGTTCATCTGAAGATTCTTAGCACAATTTTTCTTTCAATGGTGTCACGGTAGTAAGCTGCAACGATGGTGAACTTTCTTAACACAAGATTACATTTATTCGACTTAATTTAAATGTATGCTATATATGGCCTTGTCATCATTATTTGTCATTGAATATAAGATCAAGGATACATCTATGAAAAGTATTTCCTTTCATTGATTTAGTTTAAATAATTCTTAAACACATTTACTTAAAGATAAACTAACTTTTTTTGCAGGTCACAGAACTTTTAAGAAAAGAAGAAAATGCAACTGGACCTCAGGGTATAGATGGTCAACAACTTTAATTCTCAGGTGACATCAATTAATTCAGTGCCAGTAGTTGATAAACAGTTTCAGATACCATCATAATTGTATAACATGGCCTCTTGGGAATCTAAACAAGCTAATAATTACATTTACTAAAACATTAAGATTTCAAACTTAAATTATTAAACCCCCATCTTTAAATAGTTTTATGTATATTTCAAATATGTTAGGACTTTGCCTTTGAATTTTAAAGTATGGAATCAAGATTGTTTCTCCTTGCATCTACTAATCTAGTCTAATTCACACGATACAAAAAGTGATGAAAAATAGTTCAGAGATTTGATTATACAGGTTGGGCCCAAAGAATGCCCCCATTTTTTTTTGTACTATCTTTGCTGATATGTTGGAAATATCCATGAATTACTATATACTAGAGGTGTCAAGTATTAACCGGTTAACCGGTTAACCGCCGATAATGCCTTGACCGGTCTGTGTTTTTATGGGTGGTTAGTTGACCGTGTATAATTCTGTTATTTCCCGCGCTAATATTGCATGCTCATCTGTTTGGTTTTAAAGTGTCAGTTTCACGTAAGCTACTCATACATGTCATAAGTCCGATAACTCCTTACAAACATCCAATCAGCAACTTTAATCCCTGACACATTGCTTTCCCGAGCTTACTTTGCATGTTAATCTGTTTGTTTTTCAAGTGTCAGTTTCATGTGAGCTACTCATACATGTGATAGTTCCGATCACTCCTTACAAACATCCAATCAGCACCTTTAATCCCTGCCACATTGCTTTCCCGCGCTTACTTTGCATGTTAATCTGTTTGTTTTTCAAGTGTCAGCCATGTGTAATCAACTCATGTTGCAAAACTATTTCATAAATAAATTATATGCATTTTTTAATTCTTCAGTTTTGTTATTATTGTTGTCTATCAACGTCGCCAAAATGTCAAAGGTCAAAGCCTCGCTATGGTAGTGAGAAAATTAAAATCAAAATAAACACTAATCAGCTGCAATTCTCGTTGTTATGGTGCGTTCGTGGAGATTCCAAGGGTAAACCAGTGTGGTAATTTAGAGGTACCTGTAGTCAGGTAGTGTATGAATAGAACAGAGTAAAGCTTGACGAACGTAAAAAATAAACGCTGATATATCATTTTCCCAATTTTTTTCAACTTTCAAGATCGAAGATGAAGATTTCATTTGAAATTATCAGTTCAAATTTCCGGCCGGTTAACCGACTTTAACCGGTAAAAACATCCGGTTAACCGGTTAATGCTCAAGCAGTTAATTGACACCACTACTATATACTATTAGAGGGGCAATTCAATTTGCAACATAATGATGTATGATTCATAAAATATGAATGGCTATTGGTGACTCCATGATATTTTCCATATAATGAGGTAGTAACAGTCAAAAACAAGATTTTGCTACATGTTTTGAATTTATTGCAAAATTTTGCATTGTTTAATCATCACTTTTAGGCCTTTACATATAAAGAAAAAGTATTTGAGTAAAGTTTTATTGTTAGTAATTCATTTATTATCTTTAAAATAATCATGGAACCTGTTTTTATGCATTGTAGTTAGTTATAAAGTTATATTGTTAGATACATTGATATTTGCTTTAAACATGGTTTGCCATGACTCATGATATGGAATAAATTTCCACCATTTCCTAAATATGTACATGTATATCATTTGTAAATACATGTATAGGCAAAATGTTTGATTATTTGCACCAAATGTTCAGAACTAACTTTATATTGTAACACGGACATTGCATATTCTTTTCATAACGATAAATTTGTGAATTATAATTTATATAGCAATTACCAGTGATTCAATCCATTCTCTAAATAAAATATGATTGTCAACACTTAAATTGTTCGTAGTTTTCATGTATCAAAACATCGATGGCAGAATTAAAAAAATGTTTTTGAAGTTTATTCCTATTTTATTGCATATATCCATGCATTTAAATATTCCACTGACATAATATTTTTCTGTACTCATCTTAAATTAATTGGATTCACCAACTGTGGAATCGATTTGGATTCACTAGACAGTCCCTTAGCTTGGGCCAAGGGGGGTTCATTTTTGAAAACTTTGGCCCAAAAGCCAAAATCACTTGAAAAATGGTCAGAATGTTGAAAAACTGCATGATTTTGAACGAATCTTTAGCCATAAAGGTGGCTTGATGTGAGTATATTGGGAGGATGATATTATGAAGAAATAAATATCATTAGTGAAACGGGGGGCACAAATGATTTAAATTCCTCGAGCGGTGAGAATTTTAATACTGCGAGCAAAGCAAGTGAAAAATATTTGCACAAAAAAATTTGCACCCACCTGAGAAAAATTCCCAGGGAGTTCATTATACATCATCTTGTTTGAAATTGAATTGTCTTTCCAATGATATATAGTTTGTACATTTGTCTGTTATATTAACAACGTTGTAGCAAAACAAAAATGTGGACATTTTTTTGGCCCATCCTGTACTTCATGGTTTTAATATAGGTGTTTTCAGTATTTCAGTTTCAATGTTAAAGTACATGTATATACATGTACTGTGTCAGCCAATGAAAATAAGAATTAATCATGGAGCCTTAATCTAATTGTTAGATAATACTTGTGGATTATTGAGAACATTAATGAATTAGTAAGTAAGCCAGACTTAAAAGAGCTCACTAATGACCCTGACAATGATAGTAATAATATGTAGCATTGTTTTCAGTGTAACTCTTGGAGGATTTGGAGCGGATCGTTTCTATCTTGGCCAATGGAGAGAAGGAATAGGGAAGCTATTCAGTTTTGGTGGTCTTGGCGTATGGACATTAGTTGATGTTATCCTGGTTGCAGTGGGATATGTTGGACCACATGATGGAACATTGTACATCTATTAGGCTTTCACTCTGGTACACGTTCTATATGACACAGAAATAAAGTCTGTATATTTCAACCCCAGTTTAGAATGAGGATGAAAAAATGCAATTGGACATCAGAGTATAGATGGTCAACAACCTTTTTGTTATCACATTATTAAATGAGGATTAATGTTACAGTATGTTATGTTGGTTGCGGTAGGTTGGACAATAATCATTGTTTATCCTCTATTCTTAATCAATCATCTCTGGCCATAAACTACTAGGATACTAGATAGTGGGATCTACTTCTGCCTTATTTGGAAAATGGGCCTCAAAAAATTTTCAGAAGTCAAAGTGAAGATAGACTTAAAAAGCAAACTTTGTTTAGTTCAGGAATTTCATTCAAACCTTTCTAGGTCTGCTTCTGTAAAAGGGTTGAACAATCATTATTTAATGTCAGAATTTTGCATCCAAAACTTTGAAGCAATCTGCTGTTGATCCAACTTAACATTTTAGATTGTTTTTATGAAGTGTTGGATAAATTGGAACATTTTTGTGTTTCTTTTTCAAAATCAAAAAAGGAATCTTACGGAATATAGAATTTTTCATAACTGATGTTTTCATGTGGTGAGAACGTCTAATTTTTGTAAGTTGCAGGAGCATACATACAGTAAAATTTTAAATGTTTGGAACTACTTTGAATCTAAAAAATAAGCAATTAAAGGACCATATTGAAACAGAATATGTAGAAATAGAAACATTTATAACTTTTGTTTATTTTAGTTTGTTTTGTAGTTTAGCTATCATATCATATCTATCTTATATTTTAATGCTCCTCTGCCATGTTATTTTCGAAAAAATTAACATGGCTGAAACTCCCTAAGTTACAAAAGGCCACAACTTTGCTGCACATTATAGATAACTATCTGAAATATACAAAAGTTAGAACTTGTTCATATGTTTCCATTTTTTCATATACTGTTGCAATATAGTCATTTGATTGCTTATTTTTCAAATTCAAAGTAGTTCCAATCATTTAAAATTTTACTGCAGTATATTTAAGAACCTTTTGTTATCACAGTATTAAATGAGGATTAATGTTACAGTATGTTATGCATGTATGACTTATACATTTGAAATTCAATTTTTGTGTATTTGGACTATCCTGAATGTATATCAGTAGCACTGTACCAAAATTTGACTTTCCTATGCCATGCATAGTTTTACTGTAAAGAGTAGGCTGGCTTGTGTGAATAGCCAAACCTTTTTTTACTTTTTAGTATCTATCTCACTTTTTTCATGAAACATGGCATACATTTATTTCATTCTTGTAAAAATGTATATATTGTAATTATATTGTACATAACTAGGGTATTTATTGAAAAATATAATTAAACCCTGTAATTATAATAATGAATACTGAATATGTTAGTGATTTGACTAAACAATAATGTCCAAAATATGCATATCATATCCCATTAGTCCATTTTAGTGACATCATTCTGGATTGAATAATGGTGTAGTCAGTACATTTTAGTAGGTCATGAATAAAGCTTTACTGGCATATCACTACTGGGCAATATATTGTTGGTCGAGTATCTCAGTTTATTGTCGTGGAATCCATCTATTCATCACTGAAATGCAAGTAATCACATGTTAATATTGGAAGGTATCTATGAAAAGATTCACACATGTCGTTAAAGCATATATCTTTATTTATCATAATCCATAGTTTCCGCCTTCCTTACCAACATAGATAGGATGATTGGTGAATGATGTCTGGAGTTGATCAAGACTCGAATCTCTTGTGTAATTTTCTATAGGAGAATGGCTTCATGGGTGACTTTGAACATTGAAACAACTGATAAATTATGTCATTTCGTTACCTTCACATTTGGGCCACCGCAAAAATACAGGAAATGATAGATATAACCCAAAAATGCAATACATGTAGGTCATTAAATTATATCGAAAAATTGAAAGTAAGTTCACACCACTGGCAAAAGTCTCGGTTACATTTTCTCTTAGATGCTAAAAGAATACATTTATTGTAGTAGATGTACACATCTGCTGAATATTCTCCAATATCTACATCGTTAAAAGTGCACGAAAGGCGTTCTAGAAATGACAGGTGTAATTCCAAAATAAAATTCGTAAGGCGCTTTAGAAATGTTGGTGTAATCAGGATGGCGCGTTTAACGTTTTTTCTGGTGTAATTCCAGCAAGTGACATATGATCAAAACATTGTAAGATCAATCACAAATACGTACACAAACTCGAAATCCCATTTCTGGTTATCTCCTCCATTGTAGTCCCAACAACAGATTTTACCCCCGGCGTCTCTACAGCAGTCAGCGAGGTCCAAGTCTTTGCCAGTCTCCAAGTTGGTGATTCTGTCATCTGAAGGCACCCAAATCTGGCTTGGTGAACCGTCGAAGGGATTCAAGATAATATCATCCCCTAAAATCATATTATTACATTTTATGTTTATTAATTAATGTATTATTAATGCTCAACACTTTGTGAGAGACTGCTACAGTGGGGCTACAAGTCTTATTTCAAACCACTGCGGGAACCACTGTCGCCAACGTTAACGCTGGTAAGCCAAGAGATACGTCAACCAAAGTAATTAATTCATTGAATCATCAGTTATGTGATACTTCAATGACGGAAATAATTGTGCTTGCATTACTATCTAACAATATTGGAAGATATCGTAATTACCATCAATATCTAAGCAGAAGTCATTCATTTTAGTTCTGATACAGTTTGTCTCCCAGTCGTACCTCCACAGTTGGTTGTCTCTGCTGCCTGGGTTGTCCTTCTGGTCCCATTGGATAACTTTAGCTCCAGGGTCAGTGTTACCGCCATCTATGTCTAACACCAAACCACTGAGGCGAGATTTTATGAAGAACCAATCATCTCCGCTGAAAATTAAGGGTGCAATGTCTGATAAAAGCACAATTAGAGTACTAGTAACTCCCTGATGTATTGGCTCTAAAAGATGTATAAGAAGTTGGTCTATCTACTTACCAACTTTGAGGCTTAATTAAACTAATTTATAATTCGTAACGCGATCAATATGATTATTGTTCGTAGAAATTACTTATTTCTACTGGCTAGTAATAAAGTCAAAATGAATTTGAAAAACATTTTTTTTCAATTTTGAACCAATACACATTTCTTTTTATCTTTCGTCTTAACACTTAGTATTTAATACTTTCAAGGATTTCATAATATAGACAAAACAGTTGTATGTTACTTTCGACTAATTGTGTTTTATCCGACAGGTGGTTGTTCTGATGGTTGCTCTTTTGATTTTCTCAATATATCGGCGATTCTGTGCCCTCAATATGTTCTCAAGATATATCTTAAGTAGATGAGATATTGTATGAGCAATTATAGTGGGAGATCACTGATTGTCTGGGGGAGAAACCTAGGCGACATCCCCCCTTTAATTTGCATCAAGATATATTACTTTTTGTCAAAAGAGAATGCTATTAGCATTTCCATTGCGAGAGAGAGGAGCCTATTGTATATCATAATAAGCTAAAGAAAACATTTTTGAGAAAACTTACTTGGATGGGAAGTCAAATAATTGATTATCGCCCCCGTTGAAATCCCAGATTGTGAGCTGAGCACCCTCATCTGTGCAACAATCAGCGACATCTATGCATCGACCAGGGTCAATAAAAGTGACGATTTTATCTCCATCGATACACCATCCCTGCAGTGGGTTGTCTGAGTCTGAGGGATTGACAGTCAAGCGTTCACCTGGGAATAAAAGATGTGTAATGTCTTCATACATTGCATTTGAATGTCTTCATTCAGCATCTGAATCTGTAAATCCTCTTGGAGTAAATGGTGGTGTTTGTGACTTACCGTCGAAGTCCAGTGCGAATCCGTTACACTTGGATCTAATTGTGTGTCTGAATTTGTCTTCATACCAAAGCTGATTGTCGCCGTCGTTCTCGGACCACAAGCACACCCGAGTACCGGGATCCTGGGAACCTCCTGGGACGTCCAAGCACATGCCGTTCAACCGGCTCTGGATTTTGAAATATTTTGCCATTTTCTGAAATATACAATTAAATATGAATAGAAGTTGACTCTCCTAATCGAATCTAAGACAACCAAATATCGTTTTACCCCTCGTTCGAGATTTATCCAAATCTTGAATAACTCCGAATAGTGCACCTGGACATAAATGTTAACGACACAACCTAAGACATTAGGGACATCAATCTAGCTCTAAAATACGAACACCTACAATTATTAATATTGACAGAGATAAACCCAAGTGATAGAATAACAGTGACCCAAAATGAAATCAAATGCCAACCGTGTTGAAGAGAATATCAACGTTGGTTACTACGGCTACACTCATCAACTTACCCAAATCATGGCAAAGCCACAAGGCAATCGCAAATCAATTCCCAACCGTGGATAACCCAGTCGTAATAATTCTTTAAGGAATCCATCCTAAATCTCCAACAACCCCAGCTTCTTACGCAGGCTCTAGTTAATCAATGACAACGACAATTCCAAGTAATGAGAGGAACAACCACAACTAAAGTTAGGCAAATGGACAAGGGCAAATAAAGATAGGCAAATGAACAACCACAACTAAAGATAGGTAAATGGACAACCGCAAATAAGGATAGGCAAATGAACAACCACAAATAAAGATAGGCAAATGGACAACCGCAAATAAAGTTAGGCGAATGGACAGCCACAAATAAAGAAAGGCAAATGGACAACCGCAAATAAAGATAGGCAAATGGACAGCCAAAATTGAGGATAGGCAAATGGACTGCCACATATAAGAATAGGCAAATGGACAATCACAAATAAAGAAAGGCAAATAGACAACCGCGAATAAAGATATGCAAATGGATAATCACAAATAAAGAAAGGCAAATGGACAACCGCAAATAAGGATAGGCAAATGAACAACCACAAATAAAGATAGGCAAATGGACAACCGCAAATAAAGATAGGCAAATGGACAATCACAAATAAAGAAAGGCAAATGGACAACCGCAAATAAGAATAGGCAAATGAACAATCACAAATAGAGAAAGGCAAATGGACAATCACAAATAAGGATAGGCAAATGAACAATCACAAATAAAGAAAGGCAAATGGACAACCGCAAATAAATATAGGCAAATGGACAATCACAAATAAGGGGACAAATCACAAATAGAGAAAGGCAAATGAACAATCACAAATAGAGAAAGGCAAATGAACAATCACAAATAAAGAAAGGCAAATGGACAACCGCAAATAAATATAGGCAAATGGACAATCACAAATAAGGGGACAAATCACAACCCTGACAGGAACATCACTACATTAATGTGGTCGATCCCAAATGGACACTCGATTATCTGAAGTGTTAGCACACGAAACTTGGACCTTAGTCAATGATAAATAAAGTTCGAACTGATTTACTAATATGTAGATGTGTTGTCAACATGATAAAAATTTGACTGATTCGTACGATTCAATAATCATATTGGAATTTTTGATTATCTGTATGCATCTGCGATTGTGTTTGTTTATGCCAAGTATATCCCAGGTATCTATCAGTTTTATCACATTTTGCTGTACTACATGTGTGTACATTGAACATCAGTATCATTGTCAATGACTAACATCACCCGATGTTGTAACTGAATGTTGTGTGCATGTTCTGATGCACTTAACTGTGAATCATGTTTCGAAAATGATGTCCCTGTATTTACAAATGTACATTCGTTTCCGAATAAAGATTCCAAATGAAGTTTGACTATGCTCACGAAATAATATTCAAAATGTACAAGAGGCAAATTTTAAGAACACAGACTAAAAATAGAGAGAATGCTCGTATATTATATGACCGATAGGAATCTCAACTGAAGTGGTGTTATCAAATTTATTAAGGTTATTAGTGCTCTTAAACAATCCCCACTCATCACGTACAGGCGTTACTGCGATAGATGTACCAATCATATTTCACGTAGGTTTGTCATATGTAAAGAATCAACCACACCAATTACCACTGTATTTCCCTCTGTGGTCTACATCTGTTGTGAATATAATTTTACCCATATGTAGACCCACTTTTAATAATTTACTCAAATACTTATTCTGCGTTGTGCATGAATCAATGGTTGATTGATAATTTTGATTGTGATTGTTTGAATATCCATCACATTTTGCTTGAGAAGGAACATATTTTATACACTACAGTGTGGTAATAAAGTTATGCTCTTCCGAGTAGTCTTCCTTTCGTAGTATTCACTTGCCCAATTGAGCATGTAAAGTTAAGGTCAGGGTGCATGTTCGGAATTTTGCTGCAACCCTCAAGAGGGTCACATGTTATTTTACAAATTCCAATCACTCCTTCCCCACAGTGTCTACATCTATCACTTTTGCACAACGAGTGCACTAATGTACTTAGAAAAGAATGCAAAGAAGAATGTTTTGATAAATGTATAAAAAACAAGAAAATTCAGTGAAAAAATTCTGACAATTTTCAGAAAAATGTTTCACTGAATTTTCTCGTTTTTATACATTTTACAAAGCAAATCTTCTCACCAGTCTTTTCTAGGCACATACGTGCACTCTTTGTGAAAAACCGGAAGATGTGGACAATGTCTGGAAGGGGTGATTCCTGGTTGAAAAATAACATCTGACTGAACTGAATTGAGGAATGCAGAAATATTCCGAACATGCATCCTGGCCTTAAAGGAATAAGTCATGTCTTGCCTCAATGCTTCTTTTTATATTAAAAACGACACCGGCACCAGTCAACCAAAACCATAATTATGACTTGTTAATACTCAACACATTTCTGCCACATAGCTACACAATAAACCAAATAGTATTGCTAATACTCAACACATTCCTTCTACAGAGCTACACAAGAAAACAAATAGTATTGCTAATACTCAACACATTTCTTCCACACTAGAGCTACACAATAAAACAAGTAGTATTGTTAATACTCAACACATTTCTGCCACAGAGCTACACAATAAAACAAAAAGTATTGCTAATACTCAACACATTCCTTCTACAGAGCTACACAAGAAAACAAATAGTATTGCTAATATTCAACTCATTCCTTCCACACTAGAACTACACAATTAAACAAGTAGTATTGCTAATATTCAACACATTTCTTCCACAGGTCTGCTCAATAAAACAAATAGTATTGCTAATATTCAACACATTTCTTCCACAGGGCTGCTCAATAAAACAAATATTATTGCTAATATTCAACACATTTCTTCCCCAGAGCTGCACAATAAAACAAATAGTATTGCTAATACTCAACACATTCCTTCCACACTAGAGCTACACAATAAAACAAATAGTATTGCTAATATTCAACACATTCCTTCTACAGAGCTACACAATAAAACAAATAGTATTGCTAATATTCAACACATTCCTTCTACAGAGCTACATAATGAAACAAGTAGTATTGCTAATATTCAACACATTCCTTCCTCACTAGGGCTACACAATAAAACAAATAGTATTGCTAATATTCAACACATTTCTTTCACAGAGCTACACAATAAGACGAATAGTATTGCTAATATTCAACACATTTCTTCCACAGGGCTGCTCAATAAAACAAATAGTATTGCTAATATTTTATATTTAAACACATTCCTTCCACAAAGCTACACAATAAAACAAGTAGTATTGTTAATACTCAAAATATTTCTTTCACAGAGCTACACAATAAAACAAATAGTATTGCTCGTTTATACTTAACATATCCCTTCCAAAGAGCTACAAAAAACAAGTTGTTTTTTTCAAATAAAGTTCTCGAAAAAACAAGAAGACTTACCTATTCAATGTAAATTTCAAATTGAGATGAGGCGGGTTCCTGTGAACTGTAGAACAGTGAAGTATGTTTGCTACACACCTACGTATACACAAGTAATTGCATGATACATAGGGGTCATCCCATGAGAGGTGGGGGTGGTGTTACTTTTGTATGCGTAGTCTCGAAAGGGGTTAAGTTGTTGATTGAAGGCGATTTATCTAAGACGTTCTTAGAATCCAAGAAGTAGATTTTCCTAGGAAAAATGATATATTTCATGATAGAACCTTATTTTTCACAAGGAAGTAGGAATGATCAATAAAAAAGTGTTGAGGTGCTCCATCTAGAGCGCCAAAGTTAAAGTGTTGGAGATATGACTTTATCTTCTATTAATTTCACAATTGTGGGGGTAGGAACAATGACATTAATTGACAATATTATATCGACAGTGTATGATAATAAGCGCTCGTCTACAAATAAAACATTTGTTGCATTATGAACTAGACGTACACTTAACAGATGCCCAAACAAACAAACAAACAAACAAACAAACAAGCATACAAACAAACATACACACGTTCATACAGTCAAATAACGTCACTCTAGAATAGATGTAAACTGACTTAATAATAATCAAAGAACACACATGACAAAGCTTTCACAACCATAAACAGATGTGTAATTTCGTGAGGAATATGTTTTAAGGGTACTCCAGTATAAGTGGCTGTTAAAGAGGAATGTCAAGAAGGTTTCATCTTAAATCATTATAAATCTTTCATAACTTGTTAAAAATAGTTCTTCAAAAAGTTGAACTTGACATTTGAATCATAAAAAGTTAAGTGTGATCACTTTTGTGAAACGGTTTAAAGAATTGTATGCTTCAGTTCCAGTTTAAATAACTAGTTAAATAAATAAATGTTGAGACGACTTCAGATAAACAATAACAGCAAACAATTTCCCAGGCTCCTTCCATCTCTAACTTATGTTTTTTTCAACATCTTTTATTGCAATTTTACCCTGTTTTAAACAGGTAAAATTATTAAAACAATTGAAATTACTTTCTGAACTCGTTCAATCAACAAATATAGCCATTTATAAATTACAACGATATATATCCTGTTCATCTAGACATTTAAATTTAAATGGTAATTATTACCATTGTTGAGCTAAAAATATTTATGATTTGTAATGGCACATCCCCTTTCGAAATGTTCGATACGTGCTCCATTTGACATTGTAGGCATTTGATAACACTATTTAACTAAGATTTTAATATATCTGATTAATGAATAGGTCAGGGTAAATTCTATGTTGTAGCACTTCACACATACCATACCTATCATATACAGGGTCGGAGACACAAAAACGCCTCCCTCAACTTTTGGAATAACTTTCTCAATGATTAAAAAATCTTGATTTTAGAGATATCATTTAGAGATATTATGTTTTCCGTCCAGGTATGAAACAAAAATTACACTCACCCACATAATGTTTCATAACTTGTTTCATTTGTCTCAAAAAAATCTGACTTGTTTTTTCGCACTTTAGAAATACATACACTCCATTTTCCAACTCCACAAGAAGTTTCAGATGACTAGCTCACCCAGATGCACATTTATGAGCATTACAAAAGGTGTCGTCTATTCCTTTGCTGGCACAACTGGATCTTACAAAAAAATGACGCCTACATTTTGTAACGTAATTTTGGAAATAAGTTATAATGATTTTATCAACGACAACTACACTATTTTGTGTTTAATAAAATGGACTTTATTTCCCTGAAAGTACAAGCCAAAATCATTAGTATTTACAATGTTATGTTACAAAACATTGGTGGATTTTTTTGTAGATCCATATGTGTCTGCAAAGGAATGGACGACATTTAGAGCAAATGTAACGCTAATAAAATTTGACCCACTAGAGCTACACATCTGAAATTTCTGGAGGTGCTTTCGCATTATGTCTACTTTAAATGTGCTAAAGGACAAGTCTATATGTTTATAGACAAACATGTTATGCAACGTAAGGTGGGTGTCATTTTTTTGTGTCACCCTGTATTGTACTTTAAAAATGACAAATTTACCCCTAGCCTGTCGATGTTATTTCTATGACTTTAATCAACAAGGGTCCTTTGAATTTAAAGAAAATGAGTTATTTATAGTTTTACCTGATATGTCTTTGTTCGAGGAAGAATCAAAGAAAAGGCAAAGCATAGGCTCTTTTGCAATATTGCTATCTTGACTCGCCTTGATTTTTAGTTTTGTTCTTACATCACTTGCAATTGGAAAAGGTTCAATCCATTTTTAAAACCATCTCCATATATTATTACCACCTTGCCGGGCCAGTTCTAGGGGTTTTAGTGCTAGTTTAGAAGGCGTTCATTTTACTATATCGACCTGAAAAATGTGTGACGTCATAGTGGTGGTCCATATGGAGTTTATGGACCGGTCTAGAATATATTCTGGACAAGCAATTTTTCCCCGGGAAATTAGATATCGTTCATTGCGTAAGATTTTCTTGCTATTTCAGCCCTGGTCGTTAACGGTGGTAATAATACTAATAACGTCATTTCTGCGAGCAATATAGTGAAATCTTGGACCTTGGGCCTTTGGCCCTCGGTCCAATATTTCACTATATTGCCCTTAGAAATTACGTTATTGTACTATTATTACCACCTTGGCGGGCCAGTTCTAGGGGTTTTAGTGCTAGTTTAGAAGGCGTTTATTTTACTATATCGACCTGAGAAATGTGTGACGTCATAGTGGTGGTCCATATGGACCGGTCTAGAATATATTCTGGACCGGCAATTTTCCCCGGGAAATTAGACATCGTTCAATGCGTAAGATTTTCTTGCTGTTTCAGTCCTGGTCGTTAACGGTGGTAATAATACTAATAACGTCATTTCTGCGAGCAATATAGTGAAATATTGGACATTGGGCCTTCGGCCCTCGGTCCAATATTTCACTATATCGCCCTTAGAAATGACGTTATTGTACTATTCTTTTGAATCGCACTTAGGATAAAGCATGGAATAATTAGATTGCGTCATTAATGTTTTTAGTGTCGATTTTATAACGATCACTTGCACTATTCTAGTAAAGTAAATACCTGTCTTTGTACATACTAACAAAATTCATTGTCTATTTTTCTCATTAGTTCCCATTAACTTTTTTCATTAGATATGTATTACTATTAAAGTGTAAAACGCATTTTAATATTTGTTCAATCAATAAAGTGCAATTTGCTTGATTGGTGTAGTTTATCTTGTGTACACTATTGCCCATTTGCTACAAATAACGTCACTCCTCCTAAGCAATCAGCATGTGTCGGCTATGATTATATCATCTGTAAAGATAATTCAATACAAGCGTTTCTTGAAAAATATCTCATGACGTCCAAAGAGTCACAACTATGTTAATTCATATTTTCACAACTTCATGAACGAAAAGCAACCAATCTGAACGGTCCTTACTTTAAAGCGAATGCATGTACGCACGAACGAACGAACGGACGGTCGAACGAATGCAAGCACGCATGAACGAACAGCCGGTAGGACGAACGGACGATCGAACGAACGAATGAACGAATTGACGGTCGGACGAACGCTGCCACGAACGGACGGTTTGACGAACGCATGAACGGACAAAGATCGGACTAATGCACGCACCCACAAACGAACAAACAGTCAGATGAACGCACGCGTGAACGAACAAATTTCGTACGAACGCATTCACAAATGAACGGAAGATAGGACGAACGCACGCACGAACGGACGGTCGGACGAACGCAAGCAGGTACGAACGAACGATCGGACGAATGCACGCACGGATGAACGGTCGGAAGAACAAACGAGCCAATGAAATATATGTGTCCTCGGAAGTATACTCCTTGGAACATTGAACTATGTAGAATTTACATCTAACTCCGAAATGTACAAAGTCTATTTACACATTTAAGAATTTTATGACGACGCTGACAGATGGATCAAACTGCGTGAAGTTGTAGAAGAAATATTTGCAAAGTTGCCAAAGAATGATATGCTATGTGATTTGCACGTTCGTGTACAAACATATAAAGAAGCTCAATATCTTCATGGAATGATGGTGAAGTTTTCCTCGCGATCGAAGCGGGGCCTCCTCATGTTTTCAGCGGGGCCTCCTCATTTTTCAGCGGGGTCACTGGAACACCTTGAGTGATGTACTTCGACCTCCATGGCAGGCGTTATTGTACAGTAACTTTAATCAAGCCAGACTATATTGATCCAATATGTATTATGGAGTACATGTATGTAAATCGTATTTATTGCCTTTATTTTAACGATAAAAGTAATATACAGTATATGTATATATAACAGTAAATTATGCAAACGTGTATGTTGACGCCCTTTCTTCCATGCCAGTGAAAAAGAATAATTTTTCATGTCATTGTTTGTCAAATATATCTGTTTTCAAAGTTTTGCTGGAGTATCGAAGAACGGTAATATATATTTTCATCCTTTTGGTCCAGTAACCCCCCTATCACACCAAACTAGTTCTTACCCGTTCTTGCCAGTCCTACGAAAACGTCGTAAAACGGGCTCAATCTGGCTGTGGTCGGGAAATATGTCTGAAATAATTAGCTTCTTCGTTCTTAAACAGTCTTCAATACGTCCATCTCGTTCGCAGTTCGTTCAGGTCGCACCACGTCGGTGTGCAACGTCGTAGAACGCGTCTCTTAGTCTAGAAGGTCAACATGACCTGATAACAGAACGGTATGGTCGCCATCGAATTTTGAATCGATTCAAAATTCTAAAATCACATTCCCGTCTGAGAACGTTCATAAAGTTCGTAAATAGACCTTAGAAAGTTGCAGCTACGTTCAATCCGATCGCACACAGTTTAAAACCAGTTTTGAAGAACGCAGTGGCAACTTGTTTGGTGTGATAGCTATATTTTTGCTAACTCGTTCATAAGCAGTGTTAAATACGTTCTTAATTAGTTTAAACCCGTTTGCAATTAGTTCTACCTCGTTCTCAACACGTCCTCAGACAGTTCAACTCGTTATTAAAACGTCCCTAGTAGGATTGAAGTGCGACGGTTCCGTTCGTAGTACGTCCAGCTCGTCGTTAGTACGTTGTCACTCGTTCTAATTGTAGAACGTGACGACCACGAGAAAATTTTGAGCATTGTCTAAGTTCTAGAGGACCCACCCGTTCGAGTACGTTCGATGAAGTTTGTAAATAGATCCCAAACGGTTCTTAGTAGGTCCAGTCCGTTCGTATACAGTTGAAGCCCGTTTTCGAGAACGCAGTGAGAACTAGTTTGGTGTGATAGTAGGGTAATGCAAATAAACAGGACTGTGCTCGCGATGCTTTGGATGCTGATAGCCGTTGGTGTGATAACCTTACTCTTTCAATCTATAGTCCATATAAATCAATATAAATTCATTATCAACAATAAAGTAGTATTAGTATAAGTAGTAGAGGGGCATGCCATTGTTTTTGACGCCCTTGATTGATATTTCAACTATGAACAACACATTTATAGATTCAGGGATTAAAATGAGCAATCATTAATTCGATTGGTCAAAAGTTGTAGTTGCTATGCAATCAGTGTTTAGGTCATGCAAGGAATTATTTTTATTTTGCGATTTGAAGGCTTTTTTTCATCCATGCATACAATGAATAAAAGTGTAAAGAGTTTTCATCATCAATAGGTGATGCATTGACAACAATAAAGTTTTTTACTAATAAAACGATATTTTTTATTTAGACTCAACATGATTCATTTTCATAATGCACGTCGTCTTGTGGGATTAAACAAATGAATATGTACATATACATATATATGAATACTGCATTGATATAGAACATAACTGGATTTTCAAACAAACATAATATTTCACTAATCAATTTCGGATTATATTAAGGACAATCGCTGCATGGTCGTAAATATCGTCAAATTTCTTCAATGAGTTGCTGATCGACATCTGACATAATAATATCCGTTAGTGGATAAGTAAAATGATGGGTGTGCCATTTTTGCATTGAAAATTGAGATTTCCCCTGAAGCACACTTCGAGTTATTAACATTTTCTGAAAACTCACACTGACACCTAGTCCTGGTACTTCTGAAACTTCATCATTTTCATCTCACCAGCGAAAATCCTTAACAATTCCTCATATCGTTCTCTGAGATCTTTTGAGAAACACCGGAAACATGAAACACTTAAAACGAACTTAAAACACGTTATAAACACTTAAATAAGCATATTTCATTATAATTAGGCTAATGGAATCACAAAGCACATTAAAATATCCACAACAAAGCAATATATCACAGCCCTTACATTTATATTGAGTTGATGTAATGAGCACAATCAGAACGACCCGATTTACGATCCATGGTTTCCTTAAACAAATGAAACTTGCGAAAGTAATATACATTTTAAGCTTGTTCATTCAGTGCTTTGCTAGCAAGAAACCACTTGCGATAGTTCGAATTTGCTTCCTTTAAAAAGACGTAATATATATAAGACTCCGAGTCTCATGGCAGCGACTCTTACATTGGCTCCGAATCCAGACTCATCTGATGTAATTTTAGGAAACTGATCCCATGGTGTCAACGATGTGTTCCATTCGTTCAATGATGGATTCATTTTTAATATCTTGATATGACTGCATCTCTCATTCAGTTTACGCGTTGATTGATTATTACACAAGACTCTACTATACGTCGTTTTTTAATCAGTAGTGCGGTAATACCTGTCTCTGCATTGCTAAGTTAGAGTTACATGTCTATGTATCACACTATCCAAGATGCAAGATATTGTGTTAAGATTCTGCCTTAAATTCGTAATCACTAGTACGAACAAGTAAACATTCAACCAGGCGTAGCAACCAAATCTGTCATGAAAATAGATTAGGTGCAGAGAGAAAAATTCCGAGAGTTGACCCCAAAGTGAATATTGAAAATATCCAGATGCATAATCGGTCTATGACCCTAGCTGCAAATTTCCAATCGTTCGCCTCTGAAGTGTATTTATCATTCTCCTTTGTTTTCCTATTCATAACTTTAAGTTCTCGCAGAATTGCGTTAAGCTCACTTTTATGTAGACAGTGACCTCCCGTGGGTGAGTTTGCCAGAGGTGTGTATCCGATATGGGTGCCGTTCTCCTCTATTTTTATGGACGCGTAATTTGGCACTGAATTCATCCTGTCCATTCGATCAATCTTACAAAGATCATCGTCTAAGTCTAGCACATTCGCGAGTAAACTTCTGGAGGATTTTTGTCGCAGTTCAACCTCCTTTAATTTGGCAATTCTTGCATCGTGCACTATTTTTCTTATTGTTATATCATGGCCTGGTCTCTCCATGCGAAGCATCCACGCCAACCACTTACATATTATCACCCTCACCTGAAATCATACAGATGTGATCAAAGTCCCTTGATTCGAAAGAAAAGTTCTTGACTTTTTCAATGACATCTATTTCTCCTTTTGATAATAGGGAGTTTAAGCTTGCATTTAAAATCGAAACGCCAACCTATATGTATGACCAATCGCCCATACAAATGTATCGCTTAGATATTTTCCGTTCACGATTAGGTTACAGGGGCGGATCTGGGAACCAACAAAGGGGGAGGGGGGCCCAAATTCGCTGTCAGAGAAAAAAAACGTTCGGAAAAAAATTTTGGGCCCCTAAAATCCCAAAGTAGGCCCAATCTTTGAAATTTTGAGGCCCATTTTCTTTAAAATTTGGCCTAAAATTGAAAAATATGGCCTTAAAAGGTCCATTTATGACCAAAAAGGCTCACTTTTTGAGGCCATAAGGCCTTATTTGGCCCAAAAGTTTTTTGGGACCAATTATTTTTTTCTGGGCCCACCCAAGGGGGGGGGGGCAGCCCCCCCCCCGGATCCGCCAGTGGGTTACGAAAAACATTGCAAGCTTAAACTCCCTAATATCAGGGGGAAACGCGTAGAGTACACAGGAGATACATTACAAAAACCGCCATGTTATTTAAAAATAGGTAATTGTAGTTTTATTTTTTTCGTCTGTCAACATTTTTTAATACTTCCCCATCTGCCAATATGCTAATCACGCCCCCGATACAAGTACATTGGGAAAACATTCGATGGTTACAAATTGACTTCTCAAAATCTAGTTTTTCAACAAAGTGGGGTTAACCATCACGATTTAAGGGTAGTGAAAATAGAGATTTTCAAAGTAATGAAATAAAACGTACAAACGTTTTTTAAATTACACAAGGCCTGAAGATGATTAAAACGTTGAAGTATACTGCCGGTCTAGAAAGGTTACAAAAATCACAAGGGTCAACATTTATACTCCATCACTGACAAAACACATGAGCAAATCATGAATTAAAGCACATCAGCCTTGATTTTTGTTTGTTAAATTCATGATATTATTTGAGGAGTCAGCTTGCATTATAGGGTTAAGCGTAACATGCATAACTTTATCTGCATAATACTTACAGCCTTTGGCATATTATGCGTTTCTGGATTGCGGTGGTGGTAGTTGAGAACTAGTACAGTAAACACAACTGACAATGAACACACCATCATAATACACGCAAAATATATCCCTGAAAACACAATCCTCCTTTTTAAATGGCAATTCAAAATAAATACATATCCAATGAATACCAACAGTGTAATACTTCTGCTGACATACATATTTTAGAAATATAATACTAGTATTCAACAATTCAAAAATATTACCTAATGGCTATCTGAATGCAACTTCATCTGTCATGTACAGCATGTACTTACATGTACATAATACTTTCTATTGACACTTTAGTAAAGACGTATTTAGATAATTCAAACTATCTATAAGAACGAAATGCAAAGGATTAAGGGAATACTGTAAAGGAAATGCATCAAATGTAGTTGGAACGTGAAAATACAAGTGATCATTTCAAAGTAACACAAGGAGTATACAGGCAAAATGCACTTATGCTTACCAATTAGTGGGACTGCATCGGACGTTGCTGGCATTGTCTCAGCTACTATCATGAGGAAGACTGTCAGAGACAACAATATAGTGACACCTGAAAACAAACCACAACAAAACTCCTACTACTCTAGATCTCAAAATTGCGTGAAACAACATTCAATGACTCATAATGGATTTCCATTCCTTTATAATTCTCTTAATATTAAGCATTTTTATTTACGCATTTCATCATTTCATAATAATAAGGAATAACTTATTTGAACTATTTGGGGTTCTAAATATTGCATATTCTGAATACTACAGGGTGACTCAAAAATGTAAACCTGTAATTTTGGAATTACTCTCAATACTAGTATGACATAAGCTTCTTGAATGGGTTTGTATAGAATGTTGAATGTGTGAAACAGCAGTATACAATATAAATGTACTGTATGTCATCAAAGACTTTGCAACTTATAGAAAAATATTGTTTCCATATGATCGACCATGTTCTTGTATGGAATCGTCAAAATCCGTTCAAAAAATTATTTTATTACAAATTGCAAAAACTACCTTTGCCAGTATTCGTACTTATAATCAATTATATCGTATTATATCATATATGTACCCACTGTTCTCTAAGTCTGTGATGATATTAATGTACACCACTGATCCATGCATCCAACACTCTATTTTCACAAAAAATCATGACTGATAAATTATGTTATCCTGAAGTTAGATGGTTGCATTATTGTGTTACCCTTTATATTGAGTTTCTTTTATAGTTATACATTTTGAATGCTCTATTAATTTAAATGCTCGATTAGATTTATTTGTATTTTGCAGTTGAAATCACAAGGTTATGACGTATTCTTTCTAAATGTTGCAATCAATCAATCAATCAAAGGTAGTATAGCTCTTAAAGTACACAAACACATATCAGAGACCAAACGTTATATTGGGTGACCCAAAAAATGATCCGCATTTCCACAAGCATTTACGTCTCAGCATTAAGACTGCTGAGAAAATAATCGAATTTATTGAAAAATTTATATAAGGGCGAATTTACGATAATTAATATTTTTTAAATTCCACGAATTCTGCTATTCTACTACACCCTGCGCCATGTGTATTGATATCAAGGACATTATATGTGCTATCGTGATGCCGACATAAATGTTTAGAATAACCATGCGATATATATTGAAAAGATTGCTTATTATTTCTTAAAAACAGCTTTAATGGTGATTTTTGGACAAAAATCTAATTTTGCAATGGAAACTCGGACAACATAACTAATTAAGCATCAAGTCCGTCGATAATTTCTAACTGATTAATAAATTATGTTTCCGACCAGCTCTCAAAAGGGGTTGTTTGGCATGTCATACTCATTAAAAAATAACAGGTTTTATAATGTCCATATGTTTTGTATCCTCCAACACATGCTCAACATATTCAATTTACTAATAAACTATAACAATCATTTAAAAATACTACATTGCATTAGTCTCATTTCTGGAAATAATTCTTTGAAATCAATTATGGGCATTGCTGAAATCTTAATGTTTGGAGGATACAAAACATTGGACAGCAAAACCTAAATCCAACACAAAAATAACATTATTTTGTATAATAACATTATGTTTTCATTGTCTGACATTTAAAAGGTAACCTTAAGGGGACTTTTTGGCGAAATCTTAAACAAATGATGCATCGGCAATGTTAATTTAACCAGTGTGGTGGAGGATACAAAATATAAGACAAATGTTATATGCATAGAAAAAGAATTTCATTGCATGGGTAACACATATCTACAGATGTAGCATCGCCCTTTTAAGGGCTGGTGTCAAACATATTTTTTATGTAGTTTGAAAAATATCAACGCAATCGATGCTCTGTATGTGCTGCAATCAATGTTAATATAATTATATTAGCACAAACAAATTAAAACGTTGTTTTTTTTTACCCAAAAATCATCATTTAAGCTGTTTTTGAGAAATAATAAGCAATATTTTCATACATCGCATCATTATTATAACTAGTTGTGATGACTTAGCGCACATCAAATGTCGCTGGTATCAACACATACATATACGACACAGGCTTTAGCAGAACAACTGATTTTGAAAATATCTATTATTGTAAAATTTTCGTAAAAGTAGCTTAAGGGTATCATTAAGCAATAGGAACAAATATAAAAGATATCGGTTAAATCTTATTTGACTATTGACAAATGCATGACAAAAATTCCAACATCAGACTTGCGCAATGAGACATCCATAGCGTCTGTGCCAGCTTTCCAGGAGATCAAAAACGCTTGTTTGTGTGTCAGGTCCATAGGCTTGTTTCATTGTTCTCTGTATCCAAATCCGTTCTGTTCGAAATTTCAGTTTGGAAGGATTAATGATACTTTTGAGTTGTAGTGGTAAGTAATTTATCGAAAACTGTTTGAACGAGAAAGGATGGATGAAAAAAGAATCGAAAGTATCTGTCTACTTGGAAACAGCTTCGTTTAGACCGAAATAAGTGACTTTTCCATTTTTTCCATTGGATATTTTGGCATACTGTTTTTTTGACAATACTCGCAGAATATGTGGCCGATCTCGTTCATATTTGTAACACGTGCTCAGAATGCCCTAATGTTCCTCAATTTAGATTTTCAAAGATTTTGGCTTATCTATTGCTGTCAAAAAGCAGTTCGACATTTTTCGATTTAGCTAACGAATGTATGGCTTAAGCACGTGTTTATACTTTTGTGCCAGGTTAGTTTTGAAGTATGACATCAAAATTAATAACTTTCATAATTAGGTCACATCTTTGCTGCACATTAAACTGACTATCTCGAAATATACAAAAGATTTGTATTTTTCTGTTTATAATGGCACTGTTGATTGCTTATTTAGCGTAACCTTATAATTTCAATTGTCGTGTTGTTAGTACGAACTACATATACATTATTAATGACTAAACAACAGGCAAGGTTGCAGGTTAATTATATTGGTTTAGTTATAATCGAAAAGAACATTAGTACGTATTTGTCAAAACATCAACACAGAATGAAAGCTAAAGCATGAAGTTAATTTGTTTTGACAACACACTTCCGACCCTTAAATAAACTTGATTTTCAGGTATCTTTAAAAGTAAGCCAAAAACCAACCTAACCTGCTATTGTATCAAGCAAATTAAGGTCAGACTGCTTCCCTTTACCCCTAGCCACTTACTGACACAATTACGTCATAGTTGGGCGTTCATTGATGTGCTGATGCGTTTGGCAGTTTATTACCGACGTGGGTGAAGAGGAAAATATAATTGTTCTATTCTATCGTTACATAAATAACAGATGTAAGTGCCTGCTATTTCTATAAGTCACGCAACATTCACTGTCTACTTCGCTAGGGAACTGTACATGTATATCAATCAAGTATATACTAGTAGTAACGCTTAGTCCCTAAAAAGTCAAAGTAAGCAGTTATCACACATTTCACAAGATTTTACAACATCACAAGGACTTCGGTTCCAAGTAAGACATTATGATGACAACATAAGCAGCATGCGACATTACTGCCCATAAGCCATTCGTACCTTTACCACACCCAGAACTACCATCCGGAGCTCTAGTCAAAATGTGCAATTACTTTCAGACTGTGCAACCTCGTTACATTCCCAGACCGAGGTATGAACTATTCTATCAAAGTCAAAGACCAATATAGTAGCCAGCAGCCATCACCAATGCAGCTCGATCACCCACACATCTAGATCAAGTCATGTAATAAAAGCCCCACACCTACCTAGAGAGATTTTTTCGCCAGAGTCGGGCGGCAAGGAGAATGTGAGAAGTGCCATGGAAGACAGTAGGGCACAGGGGATAATGAGATTGAACGCGTAGTAGAGGACACGTCGGCGAATATGGACTGTAAAAGTTATATCAATATACGGTTCCGGGCAGCATTCATACTTTTCTATATTCCGTATAGCAGTCACACCTATACAAATACAAAAGAAAACGACAAGATGGGTAACATGTAATGTACTACATTTCACTATTCATGACCTACCAAATGTTAGTTTCTCGCCACTGTCCGGTGGAAGATAGAAACAAAGTAATGTAAGGCTTGAAAGCAGGAAGCATGGAATGGCCAAGTTGAATATGTAGTATAATTTCCTGCGTCGAATATTAATTGTATATGTGATATCCAGGTAGGGATCCGGACAGCAGTCATATTTTTCTACATTTCGTATACCAGAGACACCTGAAATGTATTAAAAATAATCATCTTAACTTAACATTTTTTATGAAAGAAAGGCATACTGGGTAATAATTGACTGAAACAAAAGTCGCAAAATGAGCTAACTACACGACTCCATATGTCCAGTAACAGGAAGTTGCCATGTTAGCGTGTTATTTATCATTTATGTTCGAATTACTGGGTGATTTTGATAAATTTGTTGAAATTACCAACACATTACAATATTTAATAGTCTTTAACACGTGGTTCAAATGTCAACTTCCGGTTGCTAAATGTTTGGCGGGGAGGGTATATTTTATATATTAACTATGTCAACATTAATTGAAAAATATAGTTAGGTTTTGAGATATTTGTAAGAATTTCTAGGAGTTGGGAGAAATATTTTTCTTTGAATTCATCATACCTCATTTTATCTAATAGCATTTACATAAATCTATTTGAAATTTGTTTATATATTGGATCAAATGAAATTTTGAACTCATGGTAGCAGTTACTATTCCAGTATATACTCAACGTGAAATTGCGCAATAACAATACTGGCATGTCATGTCGGGATGAACTAAAACGCTGTTCTTGTAAAAACTTTTTGAGATCAACAATGAAATTAAATGAAATTGCTTAATACACAATTCAATCTTACACAATACAGCTTGCTTCAATCAACGTACAAGCGGCGAGATGGCAGCAAAAAGTCTGTTGGGAGAAACTGATAAAGCTATTAATGAGATAATTAAACAAGACATACGTTCAAAACATGCATCTCAGAGAAAACAAGTCATGGCTGATTGATTTGAATGGAAGTGGAAATGAAGTGAAACAGACTCATTTCATCCAACATAACACCTTTCCATCTATTTGATTCCAATTGATATCCTTGCTGGCATTTTAAGTGTCATTTGATGATCTGCATTAAACAATCCCTTCCTACAAATACCCCAAGTCTGGTGGCACCATCTCCTAAAATGCTAAAATACTTGCAACCTAAGTCTGTAAGTGTGTTCGATTAAGCATCATTAATTGGAGGTTTCCAAGATCATGCAATATTCAATGTCACTTTAAATTGTCAATAGTAAAATAATTGAATGTGTTGATAGCATACCGTTGCTCACAATTATGGAATGTTTGTAAAAACATTGATTCGACAGATTTCAATGTGCTCTGAAATTTCAATGAATGGAACTATTCTACTTTTTTACATTTTCAAGAACAATCGGCTCAACAATTATCAAGTTAACCATATAATTCGTTCCACAGAAATTAATCAACCAGACACATCTGAACTCGAGATCTGAACATCCCTACATTATTCCGAAGGACCATATTTTTCAGTTCATTTTTAGAGACTTTCTCACCTTAGCACATCCTAGTTCAACCCCTGTACTCTTCTTGTACAGACACGTTCGTTTAAATATTGTAGATGTTACAACTAACTTATGTTTTTAACTTTTTTTTCGTGAAGTGACCAATTTCAATGAGCAACGGTGTTCTATTTCCCTGTATATATGAAGATTAAGGAAAATGCACGTGTCAAAAATATTTTATTTAAATTCATGTTGTTCTTGGTAGAAACATCTGCAAACTATTGTGAACTTTATATGGACAACCTTGATAAATTTTCTTTTTATTCACTTTTTATCATTTTTGTAATGCTGCCCAACCTGAAATAAAAAACCTCTTACGTTAATCCTAAAATACCAAAAACACTCAACAACAATTAGCATCCACAAACTTCGATTTAGATGTTATTTTCTATAAACCTTAAAAATGCTTGCCCAGCAGAAGCTGAATCTATTTCCGTTTTGATTGCGTATTCTTGGTGGGACAAAAACGGCGAACACAATAAATCGTTATGAGCAAAAGTAATTCTATCAAAGTTGATGTTTTTATAAAATAATATATTCAATTTTTATCATAATAAATCGAGATTGTAGTTTCCAGCTTTAAGATTTTGTTATTGTTTTGGGGGAAATGGGGTTGGGTTTTACAATGATATATATGCCACTAATACCTATGAGGTCCCATTCGCCACTGGGCTGATATGTGCTGATGTCACCTTCCCCTGTATTACCGGCTGTCCCAAGCAAAGTAAGGTTAATTTTGCTCCCATCGTACGTCCATGAGCCAAACTTCATTGTGCACAACTGGTCATCAAATGGAAACCAGCGAATGTTGATTTTACATGAGCTTATATAGATACCTAAAACAAAATGATAAAAATATCAATACGTGACTGTAAAAGGCGATGAAGCTTTTACTCTAATAAATTGTTTCTATGAGTATTTATTGAGTGATTCTTAAATATGTACTTTAGACACGTACTTGTGTAAAACATAATGACTGATGTAAATTGTGTTCCACTAAACTTATATTTTGAGAGAGATTATATCGTATTATCAAAAATTTCAATATACCCGGTGGTATCCAGTTACACAGCCCACTTGAGTACACCACTACATTAGTAGGGAATTTACTGTCTATGTCTTCGTCCGCACTGAAAAGGATGTTAAATGTTTTTCAATCTGAAATAGATTTGGGTGACAGTGGCAGTGTAAAATATGACCTGGTTATATAATCAGAACGAACGACAACAATTTATACCTTTGTTATTAGCCTGACATTCTAGAAACAATTTATTAATGTTAATTCTGACGCTAGCATTGTTAGAAATCCCATTAAGGAGTAGTAGATCTGGGATTGCAATTCGGAATTTAAAGATACGCTGAAGAACTTGATTGGACGTATTGGAATCAAAAGATAGAATGGTCTAATTTTCCGTTACTTAACATCAGACATTGGGAAAGATTACCTGTTATACATGAGAACATCTGGAGTCCAAACCTTTTTGGCAGGAAGTCGAATACTCTGGACACCACCGTATTCTGACGAATTCCATTTCAAATTGTAATCAGTCCAGGCCTGGAGAACATCATAAAGTAGCATCTTCACCAACTCAAATTATACAAACACTTCTTTTTATGTTCTAAATAAAGAAATACAAGCTTTCTGGTTATCTAGCAATATGGTTGTTTTATTTGATGTTAGAAGATTAATCAGATGTATACCGCTCGGAGGTGGACACGGTATGTCCAATTGCTACTTTATATCTCGCCTTATTACATTCCAATCCACCAGGTGGTACTACATCAGATAGAGCTTCAACAGGGTGTGACTGACAAGGAGTATGTTCAAAGTAAAATTGGTTTTTAATAAAACATTATCAGTTGGTTTGACCCGTGTTTCAGACAACATTTATTATAAACAGTGAAAACATAATCAACACATTAAAGTTTTACTTCTGTATTAATACTGCTTCTCTAGGATAAAGTTGACTCATTTTCTACATAGGCGCTGGCTATAAAAGAACTATAAACTGATAAAAAGAACACCGACAGCGTGCAAAAATGAGATAAAATGACAAAAAATAAGAAATAATATAAAGAAAAACAAGTGGTAGAAATAAGTATGATCTTGTAAATGATGAGATAATCGAATAAAGCAAATTCAATAAACAAGACACCAAGAGCCAAATATAAAATGACGCAAAACGGATAGGACGGGAATGATCAGTAAATCATTATGATTACTACATTGCCTGTCATGCAGATGTTTAGCAGTAATATATGTAATTCTATAGGCATCTAAGTTTAATGAATGATTTATAGTAAGTGTTAGTTTGTTTTCAGATATGTTGCTCCTGTGGGGTTTCACTGTTTCTAGACATTAAGTGCTTGTATACTTACATAAGTTAACCAGATACTTGTGGTGAGATACTGATTCTTTTCATCCTAAACAAAAACAACATCTACAGTATAAGAATAAATCTACCTTAATTAAAGATATATTAAAATGAGCACAAAATGATGAATCACTGTCCATTATGTTGTGCACGTTTAATCTCCAAATAAATGGGCCACTCGTCGAAATTCAGGACTAGCACTCCTAGATCAAGCAAAGTAGCCCCGAAAATAGAATCGTCTTGCCTCAGGCGCCTCTGATACCGCATAGGTCTCACCTTCACAAGTGAGAAGGGCTCTAGAGATTTGATGCAAGACAATGGTTTGGTGGAAGTGGATAGGGAGTTTAAGCTTGCATATTAAATCGAAACGCCAACCTATACGTTTGGCCAATCGCTCATACAAATGCATCGCTTAAATATTTTCCGTTCACGTTTAGGTTGTGAAAAACATTGCAAGCTTAAACTCCCTAATAGCTGATAATGAATATCGCCATTGTGTGCAATCACCTAATACCAAGGTTCCACAATCATTGATTCTACCGAGAAGATTTCTTCATAAACTGAGCTCGTTGAGCCACAAATATAAACTAATGTATCAAACGTGATTTATCATCTCCGATCGTAGCTGAATTGTTTATATCAAGGAAATTGCAATAATTACAAGGAGGCACAATTTTTTGTGTTTGTGATAAAGCTAACGTGTGAAGCAAACGTTGTAACTTGGTTTGTGCTTTTCTACAATAAACATGTGACACATTTATAGAATAGGTACACGTGTCCCAAGAACCTCTAGAAATAAAATCACCAAATTTAAAAGCACAGCGTATATCTACCACAATATTTTCACTCAGGGAGGTATGATTCACATGATATATCAGAATGACGATTTCAATAAAATATTCATGCTTTTCAAAATATATTGTTAAAGATATATCACTCGAGCTGTTACATTTGATATTTCGCAGCATGGCTTTCACCATCTATTATTAATACTTCTGTAACCTACCATTGTCCACCATGTGCTTGATGTTAGTGCCTCTGTTTTTTCATTCTAACACAGAAAATTATAGGCTATGTTTATAACATATAATTGAGTTAAAAAATGACACATACTGTAATCAGAATTGATTTCATTTTGAAACTGGTCGATACTTCCTCAGAAATATACATTTAACAAAACAATTTGAAACATTAGTGTAATAAAACTTAAATTAAAAGTTACAGTATCCCATCAGTGTTCTTCTCTACCAATTTACTAGAAAGGAATACAAATCAGAAAAACACACATTTTTAACACTTCGAATTCCAGTCCATTCAAAAGCTTTGATCATATAAACAGCTTCAGTAAATTGATTGAGCGCTAATCCCGGGTAAAGAGGGCGAAGTCAAAATATCGTAAATATAATTCATATAATATTTACTTACTACATCTATGATTTGCTGGAGAGCAAGGCTGAATTCTAGTTTAAGGGCATCTGATTCCTGTTCTACGGGTCTTTCCAGGTAGTTGTATTCTTTGAAAAGATCATTTATAAGGTTTCTTTCATGACGGCCCTGTTCTGACTCTGAAAAAAGATAATATTGTTTTGAACATTTTTGATAATTTGAAGGAATTTGTGTTCTGTGATGTTACTTTCCTTAATCTTTCTAATGCTTATCAGTTATCCTTTGTAAATAGCAATCGGCTATATATGCTGGGAATTATTGTGATTGTGAATATATACATTTATTTAATTGGGTTATACTTCTAGTATAAGATTCATGCTTCAAATTATAATTGTGGTGCTTGTAGCCTTTTTGAGCTTATTCAATTCAATTGATCAATCGATAATAAAGTTATTTGTGTTGAAGACCCAAATATTATGTGAGAAATCGATCCGAGCAACTGGAACTTTTCCCAACCGTGTATACACTTTGAATATACCAGGAACATATAGACGGTTCTAAAATGAAGATGTGAAATCTATTTGATATGTCAATCAATATTTTACACGGGATTATCCCTGCATCTATCTTTTCTAGAGCCATAAGCACCGATAGCGCCGGAAATCTTATCCTTTATAAAACTAAATAAAATCTCTTACATTGATAATTAGGAAATTCTATTCTGTTACTACTCTAAGTGCACCATGTTGGTTTGGAATAAGAAAAGTGCAAAAGAGAATTTAACATTTCTACAAACGTACTGATAAATGTGTTTTTGCCGATGCAGTTGGTTTATTTGGTGAAAATGTTCGCGATTTATTATGTGGCTATTAAATGAAAGATATGATAACTTCTTAGGATGAATTATGATTAATAAATGACACAAATGATAACTTTATTTCAATCACATATACTAATATCTAGCTACCAGCTGTTGTAAAGCATCATCAAGATAAGTTCGCATTCGATACTTTACAAATACACTAAATGGAACATTTGAAAACATCCTCGTTCTTTTCATCTCACATGATTCAAGATATTAAAGCGCCCGTCATAAGACACCAATAATACGCTCATTTCTCCATAGCCACTGGTGATCCACTCGATTACGATGGTTACCGAAACGGTTCGTTTTGATAACAAAATGTCGGAACGTCGAAGGTGCGATTTTTCTTTTTTCCTTTTTTCACGCGTTGTACGCAGAATCCCCACGACGTTTTTTCTCACAAACTTGTATCAGTATCATATGTTTTAGAAAATGTACATGATTGCGAAAAAATAGCTCAAAAGACAGAATCGTCGATTTAATTCCTCACTTAAGTTACATAAACGGTTTGGGTTAAAAGTGCAGATCTTAACTGTTTTCCGAAAAACCGTTTATGTAACTTAAGTGAGGAATTAAATCGACAATTCTGTTGTCTTCTGAACTATTTGTTCGCAAATATGTACATTTTCTTAAACATATGATACTGATACACGTTTGTGTTAAAAAATGTCTTGGGAATTCTGCCTACAAGGCGTTAAATGAGGAAAAGAGAAAAATCGTACCTTCGACGTTCCGACATTTTGTTACCAAAACGAGTCGTTTTGGTAACCAGCGTAATCGAGTGGATCACCAGTGATAGCCAGCCTCCCTTCTTAACGATGATAGCCACGTTTTCTACACTACTCACGTACTAAAATGCGCTCTTGTGGATCGCTCTTGTCAAAGATATGTGTTGATCGCCGGCCAAGGAGAAGTGACATAATTGATAGGTTGTCTAATTCATTTTTACCATCTCTACCATCTCTGTTGTTATGAAAATCAGTCGTAGTTCTAGATTCAAAACTGAGCATTGATACCGTTGTAAACGAATATGTTAGTCTAATTTCCACTAAAGTTATACTCATATTTGACATAAGTTACACGAAATCTTTAACTAAACATCGGCTATTAATTTCCCAAATGATTTGACCATGTACCAATTTCAAGTAGAGGATTTGCGATAAGAAAGGTCGGGATAGAATCCTAATTAATCACACATCATTGCATCCGACAAGATGAAATCGTGCAAATCGTTCAGTGCAGCCAAGAAAAGTCATATTATTAACCAGGAAAGCTCTTATCAAATGATGTTACAATCGTTCATAATCTTAATACTTTAATGCTATGTACGAGCCTCCCAGTATTCCCAAATGGGCCCAGAGCCTAGTAATAGCTTTTTTGAATGGGACAGATAACCATTGAAGAGGGCACCCAGTATCCTATATAATGACTTTATACTGACATAACCCTGAGGTGATTATATCACTGAGCTGTTGTCTTGCTAAATGTAGGTTTAAAATCAAGCAAACGATTTTGTGTTAATAGCTAAGAAATGAAACACTTTCTAACAATGAGAAATTATCGTATTTACCACGAGGCTCTTCCTAAATGCCACGCAAAATAGCTAGCAATCACGCCTAACCATCGACAAAGTACAGCTTGACAAAATATACTGGTGCACAGTTCGGCTGTACGTTGTCATGTATTAACGATTTGAAGCAAAAACTTTGATGTCGAATTTAAAAATTTATTTGAGGAGTATCATGAATAGTATTTCTTGTTTAACTTCATGCGCAAGCTCTTGGCAAGACTTTTAACTGTCTAATTACGTTAGCAAATTCTCGAGCAATGCTTGGGTTTTTGTCTCGGTAACTCCACCTACACAATTGACCGATTGAAAAATATTGGTTATATTTACATTTTCATTAATCATTTTTCCACCACAGTCTGAGAGTGTTAATTTTTTTTATAAGAATGTGCTTTATAAACTACACAATTTAGGAAGGATGGTTTAATAACTATTCACGTTTAAATAGATATTCGCGTTTTGGCTATAATTAAAGAAATCAGAATTGTACATTGTCAACTCGAGTGTTGTCTATTTAATGAAATTTATGAAATGTAATCTTAAACAATGCTATAATTTTATTTCAAAATTCGAAATAAGATAACACTATAATTGTTCAAGCCATTTCATTTAAATAGACAACGTACACTCGAGTTGACAACGTACAATTCTGATTTTCTAATTGTAGCCAAAACGTGAATATTTATTAAATCTCAATCCGTCCTAATTTGTGACACTCTCAGACGCTAAGGGAAAATGCATGATTAATTACAATTTGAATATAATCAACATTTTCCAATCGGTCAATTATGTAGGTGGAATTTCCTTGAAAAAACTCGACCACTGCTCGAGAATCTGTTAACGTAATTAGAAAGCTAAAAATATTGCCAAGAGTATGCACATGAAATCAAACATGAAATACTTCATCATCTTTTTTAGATATTGTTTTTAAAACCTACATCACATTTTTTGCTTCAAATCGTCAATACTGTATATGATAACGTACAGCTTAACTGTACACCCGTATATTTTGCCACTGTACATTGTTGATGGTTAGGCGTGAATAAGGAACGCGATAAAAGATAAGTAAAGACAATTCTTAAATGGACCATCGCCGTGGACAGATAATGGAAAAAATGTGTTAACATTATAGGGACCTTTGCTTAAGGCGATTATTGCTTCCTATTGAATTAACGGGTAGTCGGTGTTGAAGCTTCAATAAACATTCCAGATTCATGCATACCAATGGAGTCATTATTCGGACAGTGGCTACCCTCATCAATTTTGCCAATATTGTAATTTCAACAATCACACATGTATCACTTTATCCCATGACACTCAAACTGGAGGTTCTACATCACTTACTATTAATGCAACATTGTAACTTAAAACTTAACATGTATGATCAATCAATAGTCCTAATAGAGAAAACATAACCATATTATTAGTGAAATAACAGCGTTAATATCAATGACAAAATTTATACATTGATGGAGTTGAAAGCAAGAAATGTATGTGTTTTCAAATGCGTACACCTGAAGATAAGAAATGATGAAATCTGAAAAATCGTGGGATAAACCGAATAGCTCGCTATCTTCTTCATATCGTTTCCGTTTCCTTGTGTTGCAATCAATATCAACACTCTTATTCTCGTTGATAAAAACGATATCATTAAAAAGCATTTGATATTACATTACGTAACATCTGCAGGTAACAGGGTGACCAAAAAAACAGAAACCTCCAAAAATGAAACAAATTCTTTAATACATATGTAATCAGCTTCATTTTTCATGTACAGAAACTACAATCTATGGATGATGTGAGGGCAAATTTGTTACGTTACATCATGGGCTCTACCATCTGATAGAGCCCATGGTTACATTCAATATTCTTCTTGTTATAGCCATTTTAAAAATGTGCCCACTTTTGAAAGAAAATAAAATGAAAGATTTTTATATCAACCAAAAGGTTACACATCGTTTGTTTAAACCCATCACATTCTTTTAGCTTCTTGTTAAGCTGCATTTTGTGAGTATAGAGGGTAAGATCATTAATGAGGAAGTCTTCCAGCAACCTTTAAGTTATCTCTAGGTGTGGTTGCACCTTCTGAGCGATATTTTGGAACTGCGTTCAATGCAATCACACACAGTGCTTTCAGGTGTTCTCATTACCCCATTCTTAGAAACCTCCCTAGATAGGTGTAAGCTGATCATTTTCTCCATTCAAGTGTTTAGCAGTTCTCTTTTCTTCCTCTTCCAACTCATTATCTAACATTTGACTTTGAAATCACATGTCATGCAATGGTCTTGACTGATCATTCTGCTGTCATGATGATTTCTTGAGAATTTATCCAATGGATGAGCGTTGAGGTGTTCTTGCTCAGAGGCCAGGAATTTCAGTCATTTGATCTTTTACTAGGTGTTATACCATTGCCTATTCTTCATTATTCAATTGAAATATTAAATGAGACTTTCATTTCGTGTCTTCTTTGGAATTTCCTTCTGAATTTCTCATAAAACCTCAAGAAATGATTTTGTCTCAATGTTGATTTTCCGAAAATTGGACACATTCTAAGATCATCCATGATATCACAAATAATCAATTTCAAGAGAAATATGCAACATAACATATGAGCACTACTATGTAGATTTTCTGTATCAATTTTGTCAAGTCATGATATTTTGATGTATTGATTAATAATATTGTCAACAACATACTAAAATAGTCTTGAGTGAACTAACCCCTAAATGATATTTAGAATGATTTGC